GCGATTCGGAAGCAGCTGATCCGAACGGCAAGAATTTAAATACCGTACCTGCACCTGCTTCCGAAACTATGTGTTAAATTAACGTAAAGAAGTATGCGCTTTGCATAATTATTCATTCAAGTCCCCCCTCAATATTTCATATTTGAGACTCAAAATAATTGTCGTGCTATCTGTTTTGTGATCATATTTTTACTATTAGATATATACTATTTATTGATTTTTGATGTGATTTAATTGTCTTATCTTGTAGATTGATTGTTTTATCAATGCAATTTTGAGCAATTTTAACACTTATATAAGAAATTGTACATAATTATAATCTTTAATGGTCATCTCTTGTAACACAGTAAACTACAGTCACAAGATATATCTTCTGCAAGTTTTCACTTGAAACAATCTATCACGGGGGCTTATATGCTCATAATATGCGAGATAATTTCGCATGTATGGCCTAAATAGTACATTTTTTAGTAAATTAAATAATTATGCATTTTATTATATAATAATGTGTATTTTTATCAAATTTTACATTATATTACTATATAAACGCTTTTAATATGCTGTAATGAACGAGACGTATATATGTAATTATCATTGATCTTTCAACGCATCGTCGTATATAATAGAAGTGTTAAATATGGAATTTCTTTCTTGTGCTCTAAGATGGTTACTGCATCTTAGAAATTATCTCTAGTGCATCGAATTATATGAAAGTCGTATAACGTACTGTGTTCTAGAAAAAAAGCAATATTACTTCCATTTCTATCGATCATTTCATAGGTTCTGTTCATTCAGAATTGATCCTTCCATTCGATAGATTGTAATTTTGATTTAATATATGCACATTTATTTAGCTACAAATATTGTAGAATGCAATAAGGATGAATCTTCTTGTAACGCGGACTGTGCATAAGAACTTGGTGAATAAATCGCACTTCACATAGTTCATGCATGATTTAAATGTAATTATATCGACTTCAATTGTATAAAAACGCCGTAAAAAATTAGGGTTGTGAAATACAGGCTCATTGTATAATCGATTCTAGATATAAATAAGTTGAGGCAAGTTACAGAACTGTAACTTTATTATTCTTACTGCCGAATACTATAATTGAGATAATTTTTTGAGGTGTGTTTAGGGCCTTACACAACGCACTTTCTATTGCGTCATTTCACGGACCATTCGAAAGCAAACCATATCACGCAGAAGTTCTAGTGAACTAAGCCAGCCTGCGTTAGTACAATTGCAAGTATCTAAAAACAAAACTTTTATATTCCTGTATCTTTAAAAAGCCTAATAATGTATATAGGTATGTATGTATATACATATAATTATATATAATTATGTATATATAATTTGAAAAAATCAAGAAGAGAGGAAATGGCGAATTTAGCAAACGTTATTTAATGTTCAAACATTAATATTAATGTTATTTAATAGAACTATTATAACTGTTGATTCGCTATTTATTTTGAATATATTTGTTACATTTTTGTTTAGATTCATCAATCATTGTGTGCATAATATTAAATGATATATTGAATAGCTATTTTAATCTATTTTATTGTGGTAGTGCGTTCGTAATAAAAAAATTTCGTTGTATAAGATCGGTTTCTTTTCTATCCACATTTACGGCGTAAACAATATTCAAGAAGTTTTGTAAGTTAGTTATGTAAAACCAAGTTTCTAAAAAGATATCGCAAAAAAAATTGAATTATGTTTATATGTGGATGATGTGTGATACACACATAGTATGTTCCAAAATCACCTTTATGAATTTGAAATCGATCTTTTTCTTAGCAAAAATATCGAGAAAGATTATCATTTATGGCAAGAGTTTCTAATTTTTCTATTCCTATGTCTTTGTAACTAAAGTTTAAAAGTAAAGTTTAAAAATTAAAAATTTGATAAAATTTTATATATATAAATTCCATTTTATATATATGAGATTAACTAAAAAATGTTTTATTATTTTTCTGGCTTTCCAAAAATTAATTTATAAAAAGTTTTTCTCTTTTTTTAATCGTTTGCAATTTAAAAACTAGGCAAGAAAAAATCGACTTCAAATTAGTCGAAAAACTGCCATTAAAAGGACACTTGGTTTTGGAACATACTATACGTGTTATGTATGTGCGTAGAATATTTAAAAATTTATGATACAAATTGCATATATGTAATACACATAAAAATGAATAAAACAGTTTATAAATGTGTATTCAAAAATTAATCGTTTTTAAATTATAAAAATACTTTCAAAAATCTTATGACAAAAAAAATATTTTTATTTTTATAACAAAAAAACGATTAATTTTTACACATATTTATTAACACTTCTATTTTGACGAATACTATATCAAATTTGTATTATAAATTCTTGAACACTCTATATAAGATCTATAAATAAATTATCTTCTATAAGTATAGTATATCTTCTATAAGTAAATTATAGAAATATATTGAAAAAAACAATACATTTTATAGATATATTCAAAATATCATAAATATTAAAAATCTTGTAGAGAATATAGATACATATATACATTTTTTACAAAAATAATTGGCCCCTTAAAAATATAAATGTAATATGAACTATATAATGTGTAATACATGTGAAAAAATTAATTTAAATTATTATTTACAAATTGGGAATAAGCAGATAATAGATTTATTATCATAATTTTTCTTTGAACAATTCTGAATCAAGATAATCAGAGTATGATAATATTATGGTAATATTTTTTGCATATAGTTAAAATTTTCATACATTTTTCTAAACTTTACTACACTATGACTTTTTAAACTGTCTGAATAAAGAAACAAGGTGCGGATGTTTCCATCCTCTAATATTGACTTGGATATAAAATGGTCAACGAATACTATTCTTTGTTCAAAAATATATAAGATTTATATAATATATGTGCGTGTACGTGTAATATTCTTATACACTCTTGTAGTACATTATCAAAAATATATAACAATTATATACACATACGCACGTGTATGTGTGTAAAAATTTCCTTAACTCATCATGAAGCTGATGTTCTTTTAGAACGAGGCTACTTGATTTTATTATAAATATTATGAATTATATATTGTATATTGTTGTAAATTTTAAAAGCGCAATATTATACATATTTGTAAAATATCTATAAAAGATATAAAATTAATAGAAATATTATTTATTATGTATAATAATTATTTATTAAGTTACTTGCATTACAAATTTATTCTATATTTAATTAGGGCAATATTAATGTTGATACGAAATTAATATGTTAATGCAAGAAATTTTAATGTATAAAATGTATTTATACATTAAATACATTTTATGTATAAGCATTGTACATTTAATGTATAAGCATGTAAATACATTTAATGTTTTAATGTATAAAATGTGCTTATACATATAGAAAATTGTTTGCCAATATTAATTTTATTTTCATACAAATATGTAAACATTTTACGATATTGGCAACAAATCCTAATTTAATCTTATCCTAATTATGTACATACATACACGATATATGCAAGAAATTTCTATGTAGATACAAAATGTCAAATAATAATTATAACAATGCTAGTTAATATAATAATGATAATAACTGCATAGGCATCTATATATGTTTTCATTATATGTTTTATAATTGTATTTCATATATATGTATGTGTATACATATACATATATCTGCATATACGATGTATGTACATATTCTATTATATACTTTACTGCACAAATTTACATATTTATGTTTGACTTATATACTTTTTTTTAATAAGTTAATATTTTTTTCCTCGAATATTTTTGTTGACTATTTTATAAAATCTGAATGCTAGTCATAATAAATATCAAATTAGATATTGAGGAGTATAAATCATACGTAACATTTTGCGACACTTGTTCTAAAACCGCACTCACGAACATGTTATTTAATCAATTACAAAGAATTGAATAAAAGATATTAATGAACTAAGATCACATATGATACTAATGATAATTTACAGCCATATGTGCAAAAATCAATTATCATTAATTAATCTTTATCGTATTGTTTCTATGTTATATGCACGTTTCATGTAAATCGAATAATGTTACTTGAAATTGATGTTTGAAAAGCTGTAAACATTTATTAAAAATGTTATGGTTGTGTTTATTGTACAGTAGAGACCCAACGTTTCCCAATTTTTCTATATGAGGAAAAAGTGAAAAATTCCTGAAAAGAAATATTATTTTAAAAGTTATATGATTTAATTGTATAAGATTAATTGTATAACTATTATACAATTCTACTTCTGGGCTCTACTATGTGATCAAGAAACAAGAAAATGAAATAAAAACGAAATAATGACGTTTGGCGTGCTTGAAAAATAGCATATTTAAATTTTTTAATTCTATAATACGATATATATGTATATGATGCATATATATTGATGTTACACTTGTTATCAGAAACAAATACGGTAGCACGCTCGTAATCGAAGATAATTGAATGAAATTGTTAATTCTAATATTTCGCCGTTTGTAAATTGTTCATCATCGTACAGTTAATGATTGTAAAATATACGTGCCTTCTTGTCGCACTATCTGTATTTGCAACATACAAATATTGATTTTTTTTACCCAATAAATATCGTCATATTATTATTATATAAGTACACAACAGTATTAAATATCATAGATAATATTGGATAAGTATTTACCAGTAAGCTAATAATTAGTTGTAATTTCATTCATAAATTTAACATGTGACATTTAATATATGACACATGTAATTAGATATAATTATATATAATTATAAAGAGAGAGTTATGTATATGAGATATATGACTACAGTTATATACTATACAGCAACAACGATTGATTAAACAATTGATAATTAAATAATAAATTATGTTTAATTTAATGTGAAATTTTAATCATAATATAGAAGTTAAATTTCGATTTTTTATCCATTATTCCATATTGAATCAATAAAATATTTACACTAATATAGAAATTTCATTCAATTTTACCATTTAATAATTAATCGACAGATGTTGAGTATAATAGTTTAACATAAATAAGTTTTCTTTCATTGCTAACATTGTTCGTCACATTCAGTTATATAGGGTGGCGCACATTCGTGATGTTTTATACCGAATGAAAAAGCGGGAGTCGGTTTGGGTGGTCGAATAGCATATATTGGACCTGGACTTTTGGAAATCATTCGCAATATTCGCCCACCAGCCATAGTGTATTTCGGAGCTCTGGGTTTTACCACTTCCAAATTGTACGATGGATAAAAATCTGCACTTACTTCGGGTTTCGTTATGATTCTGCGTCCCCTACAAAATAATTCTTCATAATAATTATATGTGAATTTTCAAAATGAGTGAATGAAGATCAGGAAGAGTCAAAACATACATGGTAAACGCAGGTGCATCTGAAATATGTTTAACATAGTAAGGTCCTGGTGTTGCATCAGATCTTCTTAATTTGGTTCTCCATTTTATTGAAAAAGAAGGACCACAAGGAATATCTGGCAACTTGTACTTCGGACCAGGTCCGAGAAGGATATCTGCCAAGCGCAAGGAATTGGGATGATATAAGAAATTACATATAATAAATATGATTTAAATAAAAATATATGTTTACCGCGATGTTTTAAGGCATGTCCAAAGGTGAATCCTTTAAGTTTGCGTTTCTCAATCATATACTTCGGTCCTGGACTATCTGTCACTTCAAAAATAGGACGCCGCCCGCCGAATGTATATGCTGGATTTCGATATTTCGAGATACAATGGTTCTTGTAACCGACAAGTGTTTTAAGCTTATATTTAGGTCCAGGAGCTACAAAACAAAATATTAGTTATAATGTTAGCTCATAATTTTTTATTTTTTTAAATATTTTTTGAGATTAAATGCGACCAAAAATGATCGAAAAAGTATTATTAAAAATATTACTCGTTAGATATAATAGCATTTATACTTTTACACATAAGAAAATTTACAATTATTTTTGGAACGTATTGTATTAAAAGATTACGCTTGTCTTTACCTATGCACATTTAATATCTAAATATTATAGATAATGCATACCGAGCGTTACACATAAGGTACCCTTTGTCTCTATTTTCTTCTCTCCTTCACCCGCACCGATTTTTCCGCGCTCCTTTTTCAATGCCATTTTTTTCACTTGTAAATTTGGAAGTTTTACTTAACACATAATACTTTTACAGACGTATCACATTACCATAATTTTAATTTTATTTAATGAAAGAAAAAACAATTGCCTGTATCATAAATTATTTCATTGTTTAGCCACATATCAATCAGTGAGAAAGTTTATTACTGAAAGTAATATAAATAGATTTTATTCTCTCTCTCTCTTTTTAATATTATTGAAATAAATTGCCCACTTTCTGTATATTACGTGTGTGTGTATAAATCTAAAATATTTCAAAAATCTTTTCATAAAGTAGATTTAATGCAAATAAATATAAAATATACAACACATTACGATATTTACACACACATGTACATACTATGTATATGTATAAAATTTTTTAATTATAAAATCAATCCTCGTCTAATTGTGTTATAGGTATTCCGGTGCATTCGCTATGTTTGATACCAAATGAATACATAGGTGAACGTTTTTGTGTATCATACAATGGATAAAAAACTGGCGCTGGGCTGCGATATTTTTCTGACAAAATGTGTCTCCCCTTTAAACTATACGCCGGACCTCGTCGTTTTATCATATTATAATCAATATTGATATATGCGGCCGGGCCAGGACTCGTAAATTTCTCACGGATTTCATGATAATGAGAACTGAAAAGAGATATAAAATATATACTATAATAAGTAAATAAAAAAAAGAAAAAACATACATATATTAATAAATAAATAAATAAAAGAGAGGGATATTATATATATTACATTTACACAATACACAAACGCGGAAATAAAGTTGCGTGCGCGTGTATCTTACATAGAAAATGCACCCTGAGCACGCTTGTCGGGCACTTTGGGTCCTATGCATGTTGGTAAAGAATATAAATTTGGTCCAGGTCCTTCATCTAGAATTCTTATTACACCACGTGATTTCATACTATAAGCTGGTGCTCTACGATTGTGATTCATCGGTGGGCATAATTCGGGAGAGTAAGTTCCAGGTCCTGGTATTAAATCTTGCACTGTCAAAATACAAAATTAAATATTAATTTTTGCTGTCTTTTTTTAAAATAAAAAATCTATCATATGCTCACATTTTAATATTTTTCTGCCTGTAATTGTGTATGCTGGTGGTCTATCAGATCCAGATTTAGTTAGATTCCTAATATTATAATCAGGACCAGGCCCTATTTCATAAGTTTTTATGCCAATTCGAGCTCGCATACTGTACGCTGGATTTCTGTGCCGAGATGGATCATGATTCCTGTAGCCAATTAATGTCGGCAATTTGTAAACTGGGCCAGGACCTGTATTCCAAAATTCATATAGTAAATAATTCGTTTATACAGCTCAAAATAAATAATTATCGGACAACTTATTTTTTATCAAGCAGCTTAACATTTTCATCCTATTTTCTTTTCCTTCCATTCTTATTGTTATCTGATAAGTGTAGAAGGCATAATAAAATCTATAAAGATCACAAGTGAAAAGATAATATAAAAATACAAAATAAATTTTCTTTATGACATTACAGATTATTAAAATATGAATGTGTATAAATTACGATATATAATTGATATATTCATAGTTATCAGCGTATACGCACGCGGCACGTCCTTACATACATATGTAATTTTTGTTACTTTTAGGCAAATTTCAGATATTTTTACAAAGTAAATATATATTATAATATAATATTAATGTACTAATATACTAATATACTAAAAAATATAATAATCTGAAAAATGTAATTCTTCAATTCTTGCTATTTTTTATTTAATTATCAGGTAAATTGTTAATAAACATATTTAATAGTTGCATAAATGATTATTTCGATTAAATAATTATCTATCTTATTTTTATAGTTTTACTTATTATTTATATATTTTTATAATACACATATATATATTTAGCTTAGCTATTTATTTAATATTAAATTTTAATATTAAATTTATTATTTAATATTAAAAAAAATAAATATCTTAATTTCATATATTAATTGCATTGACTTGCTAAGTATAATATATAGAATCTATAATAAATAATTATAATATTTTTATTATAATATTTTTATTATAGATTATATAAAAAAATATAATATTTTAAAATATTGATAAATAACAAATTTAGATAAATATATATGTACATTATAAAAATATATAAATAATAAATACTAAAACATTATAAGGAATGCTGCCATCGCCGCGCCTTCCATGAGTTTGGTTTTAATTTAAAAATTAATTTTAATTTGAATTCTTTTTAATCTCGATTCGAACTGCTCGTTTTGCTCAGCTGATTGATTTCTTACCCCGGCCACTTAGAGATGATATAACGTAAAAAGAGATGGATATCCATCCAGAAATATACCTATCTCTTTCTAATTTCAGCAGATTTTCTATAGGATCATAACATGCATATATTATAGAGCTTCACTGTGGGCAACAGAATAATAAATAAAGACACCCTAACATCACTGCAGAGAACAAAATGGCGGCCGAATCAAAAGTTTCGTTCCGTTCGACTCTCACTGGACGATGGTGACCGGCGGTGGCGACGACGACAGCGAGACTCGCGTTGCAAGATGCTGTCCCGATAATGCGAGCGTCCACCGAGTGCGACCAATATTGTATAATGCGCGTGAAATAACGAATCGTTTCAATTGACGGCGGCCAGGCTAGGAAAAGAGTGCACCTCTCGCCTGTAAATATACCCAGAGCGGCCATATTCGAGTCCGAATTTACTCCTACGAGTTTGAATTCCGTAACGGTCGCGCGAGTATCCGAGTAAATATCACATCTCCTACTTTGCATTACAAGTCCCGCAAAAGCGAAAGTGTGCGAGCGATATCACTCGACGAGTTGTACCGCAAGTTTTTCCGCATATGACAATTATCCCCGCCCGGACGACGACGTACACTTGGTGCGAGTAATCCAGATTTGGTCTTGTCACTCGTCAACTCCGCCTTCTACGTATTCATTACATGCCGCTAATTGAAATCTGCTATTTACATAAATGTTGCGCTGATGACAGATCCACCTGATCTTAATCGATATTTGCTATTGCACAATTATTCCCGCAATTGAATCACGATGGAGGATGTAAATGAGATTTTGGTATGCGCAACCGAATTCATAAAAGGTAATTTACTTTAGATTAGAATTACTTATATAATAATTGCTTAATTATTATAATGTGTTTTTTTCTTTATTTTGCAACTGACTTATTATTTGTTGATTTTTTCATTTAAAATAAAAATATATGAATTTTCTGCTTGGAACTTATTTTAAAATTGAACTTATATAGCTTGTATATTTATGTATTCTGTATATCTATTTATTTTTTTAAAATCATTTTGAGATGATTATTATAATCAATATACATATTATATTGTCAATACTAAAAATGCAATCATAATTCATTTTTTTTTAATTTTATATTTTACTCAAATGTATAGAATTTATAAAAGTAAAAAATTTATCTTCCACTTGCTAGAAAAAAGACATAATTTGATTCTTTTTCCAGATCGACTATACTTTGTCACACTGAGAACAACAATGAAACCAAAAAGTACTCCAAATACACATTATTTCAGTATTGACAATGAATTAGTGTATGAAAATTTTTATGCCGACTTTGGCCCTCTCAATTTGGCTATGTTATATAGATACTGTCAAAAAGTCAATAAAAAATTAAAAGGAATTGCACTGAGCAAAAAGAAACTTGTGCATTATACAACAATGGAGTCAGAAAAAAGAGTGAATGCTGCATTTCTCGTAGGAAGTTATGCGGTAACACATTTTTTTTCTATTTAGAATGTTGTAAAAATATTTCTTTAGGTATATTCTTTAGGTATATTTCTATATCCCAGAAATTCTTTATATTAATAATAAAAAAAATAAAATAAAATCATCAATAGTTTTTAAAATCTAAGAGTAGGTGATTATCTAAACATAAATTATAATAGATTAGTTTTAAATATTTATATGTAAAAAACTACTGTTTTTAGAATAAGAAACATTTTTATTATTTACTTAGTTTTTCAAAAATTTCTCTTCAAGTATTTTAATTCATGAATTTCAGGATCTTGTAAAGATCTCGAAATTCTATTCCCTAAAAAAGTATATTTAATTATATATTTCCTATATAATACAACAAAATCTTTTATATTTTTAGATATTATACTGCAAACGTACAGCGCAAGAAGTTTATGAATGTTTGACTAAAAGTCCAAATAATCCTTCATTCATTATGTTTCGTGATGCCTCCATCGGACCACCATGTTATCAGATATCATTAAAGGATTGTCTAAGTGCTATATACAAGTGCCATCAACTTGGTTTTTTTAATTTCGAAGATTTCTGTGTTAAAGAATACGAACATTTTGAAAGAGTTGAGAATGGAGATTTAAATTGGATAGTTCCCGGAAAGTTTATTGCCTTCTGTGGTCCGCATGCAAGATCTAAAATGGAAGATGGTGCGTACCTTCCATCTTGGTTGTATTAACAGCAATTTAATAAGAGTGAGTGTGTGAAAATGAATGTAATGAGAAAAATTGAGAATGAAATGAAAATAAATATATCAATGGAATGAATAATTATAAGTGCAAAAACAGAGTGTGCAAGTATGAATTTTGAAGAGAAATGAGAGAAAGGTAATTGAGTATGGAGAAGAGTGAAGAGATTAATGTTAAAAGAATCATGAAAGTTTAAAATCAATTTATATCTTCAATTTTCATCTTTTATCACTTGAATCATTTAGAGTGCATTGATAACAGTATGTGGTTATATATAATGTGTAGTGCATAAATGTGTTCCCTTTTTCTACAGGTTATCCATTACATGGTCCAGAATCATATTTTACTTATTTCCGCCGTAATAATGTAACAACAATTGTACGGCTTAATAAAAAGGTTTATGATGCATCGAGCTTCACTGATGCTGGTTTTATACATAAAGATTTATTTTTTATGGATGGTTCGACGCCAACAGATTCAATAATGCATCAATTTCTCAAAATAGCGGAAAACGCAAATGGCGCGGTTGCCATTCATTGTAAAGCAGGCCTCGGAAGAACAGGTTCTCTCATAGGGTGCTACATTATGAAACATTATCATTTAACTGCTCACGAAACAATTGCTTGGATAAGAATATGTAGGCCGGGTTCTGTAATTGGTCACCAGCAACAATGGCTAGAAAAGTGGGTATTTCTTATTTATTATTTTATTTAATAGTTTAAAGAATAATAGTAATAAAAAAAATTGATAATTATTGTATTTTTTAGAAAGGAGTCGTATCTCCGATCGTTACTGAAAGAACCACTGCAACTTGAAAACAGAAATTCAGTTCATGAGTATGGAATATACTCGATAGCTGGTAAAGCCAGAGCAACTTCCTTCCAAGGCAATACGAAGAGTCTGATGGAAGATAATGTATCAGGAATAATGCATCGTGTAGACGAAATAAAACTGGATGATCCTGGACCAGTAGCTGGAGCTAGTTCAACAAATAGATACAGTACACTGACTCAGGGTGATAAATTATGCAGAATTAAAGCTAGGAGAAGAGGCATAGCAACATCTCAAACTTCTCTTAATACAAGCACAGGAACATCCACTGTTGGACAGTGAGTACAAACTGTTTTTATTTCAACAAAAAACTTTTTAAAATGGATATATATATATATATATATATATATATATATATATCTATATATATATATACGTATTTTATCTACAGTCCATATTTGGGATCTTTATTACAAACTAGGAGTCAAAAAGGAACTATTACTACTTTAGTGGCAAATAAAGAAAGAGATCCCACTAAAAGACTTTTATCACGAGCCACTGCAACGACAGTGAAGAGGTTGGACGATTATTTATTTATCAATTTCTTTTCCAATCTCGTCTTTTAAGTATTATTCAATACTACTACCTACTTTCCTCCATAAAGATCTATTCACTAATACATATACTAATACATATGCTTTTAATAACATTATTGAATTCTATATTATTGATATTACGTGCATGGGGTTAAAAGATATAGGTCTGTTTATCTTGAATGGAAATTGTAGAAACAATTGGTTGGTCAACAGTAGCTGTGATCCATCTTCCTGCCGTATTAGGTCTAAACCAGCAACACAGAGCCATAACATCAACAACAATACAACTACTATTAATCCTGTTACATCTTTAACTGTATCAAAGCCAGTGAGAAGAACGAAACGTACCTCCTGCATGGCTGCACAGGCTCATACTACAAACTCGTCTGCCAATCATACGATACCACAGCCGCAACAACGCATGAATATGATTCTCAGGTCGGCAGACCGAGTTACTCGTTATTCACTCAGACAGTAAGTCGATAACTGTCCTTATTCTCGGATTTGAGCCTAAATTTACGATTTGAAAAATTGATGCATTATGAAGTCCGATTATGCAGTTTTTGATCTTTTAATTAATTATTTGATATACAAGTGAAATTGATATTGATAGTATTTCCCCTCTGCCTTTTTCCCAATTCCATTGCTTTTAACACTTGGCTTTGCTTTATTGTAATTGTGCAAGTATATTTCCCATAACAAAATTATATTTTTGTCTTTTGTTTCTGGTCATCGTTATATAAAAATATAGCATTCTGGTCATTGTAGATTAATAAAATTTTCGAAGCTTCATAAGTTTATGTTGATTAACATAGGTTAATAAAAATCTATGAAGTTTCACGATATATATAGAAATGGTTCAATGTATAAACGAGAATTTTCATATAAAAGTTTATTAATGAAAAAAATATATACAATTTGTAATATGTTTGCAAATATTTTTTATGATTAGAATATAATAGCTATTAATTTGCAATTTTCGTGCTCTCTTGGTGAAAAAAAGAGAGATTTTGCGAATTAAGAATGACATTGATTTTTTTGGACATTCCATAGTTTGTATTTCACAATTTTCGTTAAATTCTCCCATTTCAATATTTGCAACTGTAATAAGAAGTATTTTCCCAAACTATATTCAGAATTTATATAAGATTTTGATACCTTTTCGTTTATTAAAAACTTTAATTCATTACACAGATGGATGTACTAGTTTATTCATCATGATTATTACAGAGAATTCTACTAACTTTATTCTAATTTTTTAAAGTACGTATTATAATTATATGTATTTTATATATAGCTGCAAGTCCTGTAATGCGTGCGTCATAATTATAACGCATGTATTAAAAAGTTACAAAATAAGCCTGCTGATAATGTTCTGCTTATGATATTTACATTCTGTCTGTGCAGCCATTTCGGCTTTATTTAATTTTTGATCTTTAAAAAAATCTCGTTTATATTTATATGAACCATTTTCCTACATACATACATACATACATACATACATACATACATACATACATACATACATACATACATACATACATGCATGCCTACATACATACAGAATGTTTCACACATGCAATTAATTTTAGTAGTTAATAGGAGACATATAAAAGTGAAAAGAAGTTTATATTAGTATATTTCGTTTGTGGATCCCACATATTATATATGAACCATCCTATGGGTATATAAAAATATAAAAAAGATTGTATTATAATGTAATATAAACAAACGATGTCCCGAAAGAAAAGATCAATATATTGAGAGGAAATAACATTGATCATTGTGAGAAAAAAAATTCACATGAATATATGTCTGATTCTGAATAGTTTTCAAAATAAAATTTGAATATGATTCTTTTTTCCTTTTTCTTCGTGTACTTCAATGCACAAACATCAAATTAAATTGAATAGTGTTTATAATATTATTTGGCTATTCTAATTTTTTTTTGAGTTAATAAAATGCATATATTTTCATACATACTGAATATGTAAATGTGAAAATATATATTCAAAATTAAAATATATTCATATGAATTTTTTTCCGAGAGATGATAACCGGTTATCATTTCTTCAAATATTGACTTGGGACTCTCTGTGTACACACACAGATACACATATGCACGAAGAATAGCCCATTTTAAATGCCTACTTTTTTGTATTTTTTTTGTTTTTAATTTAAAAAATTTTTAAAAACAAGATTTCTTTAAAATTATCTAATATTTTAAATAAACATTTTAAATATAAATCTCTTGTATCTATTGCAATTTTATGCAATTTTCATATGGCATACTCTGCATTGTCAATGGTATCGTAAGTTTCTTTGATATATAATTCAATCAATTTTTCATGAAAAAAATGTAATAATAATTATCTAATTATTGAAAACGTCATATCAGCTGTAAGAATCCACAATCAAAATAGAGGTTCCTATTTAAAGAATTTAAGATAATCTTAAAGAGTGATCTTGAAAAAAAAAGAATTCAAACAAAATTACAATTGTATATTCTCCTTAAAATTTTATAATCTACAAAAAAATTCAATCTAAAATATATTTTTCTAAACTCAAAAATAAAAAAAAAATGGGATTTTAAGATAGACTATCTCTTGTGCGTGTGTATATATATTTTTATATATTTTTTTTATTTAACAGACATCACACACACACACACACATAACTATATACATACATACATACATACATACATACATACATACATATATATATATATATATATATATATATATATAATAAAATTTTTCTAACATTTTAAAATGTTTACTCTATATTAACTTTATGAGAAGTGGAATAGCCTAAAATACAAAATTATAGGATTCTGTTGTGACTAATTTGATTAATTAATTATTGCATTTTTTTAAGGTTGATATTGCATGTGGCATAACTCCATTAATTCCGGTTTTGTTTTGTTAAAGCATGTATTAAATACTAGAAATCTTATATAGGCCTGGGCAAATAACATTTGTACAGAAATAAAAGTATTAAGAGAGAAGGTGAAATTTTTATTATATACAATCCGTAGTCCAGGCCTCATAATGTGTACATTACAAATAGTGTATAAGGGATAAAACAAGCAGCACTAGAAGTGGCTAACGAACCGATCCTATTTATTTCTGTGACTTGCAGTGCACGCACAACAAAAAGTTATAAAAGTGCATTTATCAGATGACTAACCGATATTCCCAGTGGCGTTGGGGAGGATTGTCAGGTAACTGGAGCATCTCACCAGCGCCGAAGATCTCATCGCTTAAACCCCATCATTTAGTAAAAAGTACTTCACACTGACCTTCAATCCGTCTTCAAATCAAGTGAGTTTTGCCCAGGCTTTTATATCATAGATTAATGAAGATCAAACTCTATCTCTACAATCATCAATACTGCATTTAATATGATTTTGTTGTATCTGCATCACATGGAATATTAATTTGTTGAAATGTTATTTAATGTAAAATTTACACAACTTTTATAATTGTTTTTTTTTCACAAATTAAAATCGCGATCTATTGAATGTATGCAAGAAAAAAAATCAGATTTTTTTTGTATATATTATTTATATATTTAATCTGTTTTTTTTTTAAATAAACATTTGTAAATATGTATTTTTAAAATTACTTGGTCTATATACAATACATATTTCTATTTTGCTAAAATGTTTATTTAAAACTCATTTTTGCGATATCTGGTGAATATATATTTTATATCATCTAAAAAAAATACTTGATTTTTTATATTTATCCAAAAGTTTAAAAATATTCGATGATTATTTTCACTTCAAAGAAAAAAGAATTTTTTCTTCAATATTTTATATGTATATAATTAATAATCTTATTATTATTTTGAAAGAGTCAATTTTAATTTTGTTAATAATTAAATGAATGATAATCCCGAATGTCCTTAAAATTTGTTATATTTTTTGTTATATTAATATATTATTTAAAACAATTAGGCGATTTTACTTTAAAATTTGTAAATTTTGTAATTTTTTGAAAGGCTGTATCTTAGCTTCGGGAGATCAGTTAGAACATTTTTTCTGCTAAAAGATAAAGTTTCCACTGGAGACTATAAGATGAAATTTTTAACCCCACTAAATTCTTTTTTTTGTGAGAACTAAAAATTGAAGCGTGCAAAAATTTTAAAAATATTACTTTATGGCTTTCCACGGAAAAAATAAGGATAGGGCGAAAATTGTCATTATATAAATTTTGAAATCGAGAACTTGCTTTTTAAAACACCTAGCAAGATTACGATTTCCTGAAGTACGACCTCTTAAAAATTGATAAAGTTTGCTAATTTTAAAATAATCGTCTAATTATTTTGAATAATATATTATATGTAAATTTTAAAATATATCACTATATGTATAAATTTATATTGTTATATATGTATGAAGCAAATTATTGTGGATCGAAATTGGAGAGTTGATAAAAAATTTATTTATCATCATTGTGATAGAAAATGTATATTATACAAACTAATTTTGTAATTTTCGGTTTTAAATAATGTTAAAAATGTCTACACACTGTAAATGCTATGGCACTTGTTAAAACATTATTTTTAGTATTTTAAATTTAATCAAACACGTTAGAAAAAGAAGAAACTTGCAATATCAATATATGTATATGCTCTATGTGCAGTTTATATATAGTCAATGCAACATGCTTTGCGTCCTGAAGATATTATTTTACTGGAAAATATATCTCATTGACATTCATAGATCATTAAGTCGAATGTATCTATTATTTAGCCTTCAAAGAATCTCAGATATATAAAAGATATTAGATTATAAAAAAGGAATAGTTCCTTTTTTAACTTAAAAATCAGTATTTAATAATTTTTTAAGTTACTGATTACGAATTTAAAATTAAAATTATAAAATTGGAAATAGCAGCTCTAATATGGTGGCAATAAAGTAATTAATTTTTGTTATACAGAATCTCCCTATTCTATCCTCTATTATTCTTCTACTATATTGGATGAGCTACATGTCAAATATTCTGTTCTCATACTATTTCATTTATAAATTGACATGCTCATGTATAAAGTGGAAAAATAAAAAATAAGTACAGCGCGATATTTTTAACAAATTTTTTGTCTTTTTCTAAGGAAAAGACAAAAATTTTAGAGAAAAAAAAAGATATGTCACATTTTTTTATTTCTTTTTCTACCTACTCTATTACTATAAAGTATTGTACTATAAAGCATAGGAATGGCTGGATCTATTCTTATTTAATAAAAATTTCATAATATAATTACAATATACATCTTTCGTATTGAATCCACTATTTCAGATGTAATTTTGATCCATTTTAAATGTTATATTAAACTTATGTCAATTCTGCATAATGTATCCTTTGTGTTGTTTACTGGAAAGCATCTCTATCTCATCTTTCTGGATTAAGATATTGGAAATGAAATAGAAAAGCGATCTATAATATTTTAATAATGTTATTTATGTTACTAATGCTTTTAAGTATCAAGTGTGAATAAAATTTATATCGACAGTTTCAAAATGAAAGTAACATCAAATGAAGGGCATTCCATATATACATACATACATACATACACACACACAAAATTTACGGATCAAGTTTACAGATCAAATTGATGCAAATCGATCATATATATTAAAATTTATAAAAATATTTATACTTGATAATTGCCGTATTAGATATACAATTTTTAATTTTGCAATTTTGATTTTAGATTCGTAATCATACAGTAACTCTGAGAATCTGTAAATACTATAGAGATATAAAATAGATGGAATATTAACTGCTGATATGAGCAAGGGAAGGGAGGAGATTTAAGATAGTGTGGGATGTATCAGAATGCGATCCTGTTTTTTCCTTTCGAATAGGCTCGGTTTGATTGCATATTTGTGATTGATGGATAGAATGTTTCAAACCATGTCAAATTGCTCGTTGTTGATATTCCGATGTTGTTGAACACCAAAATTATTGATATCCCCTTTAAAAATTCTTATCGCAAAATAGGCTATATATATTTTGTGATTATGGAAAATATTGATTTATACGTGATTATAATCCGAAAACAATTCTATGTGTACAGAGTTATATAGATAACGACTTGAAATTATTATATTTTGCGTCAAACTATGTATTATTTCTTTAATATTATTACTTTAAGCAAGACGGTCATGATTTAAAAAAAAAGCTTTATGGCTCTAAAGATTAATGGAAACATATGTAAATTTGTAGATTTTACATAAATATGATGTAACTTTGTATTTTTTTTAATGTACTAATTATATCATATATATTAGTAACTAATAGGAATTTTAATAACAATTTATTAAATATGAAATTTTAAAATATATATAAGAAATATTAAGTTATCTTCAAATATCTTTGTAAAGATATCATGATATAATATGTAATATAACATATATGTGTAACATGCGCATGTGAACATAGTTTAGTTATATAATTTATATAGATATTTATATTTATCTCACTTCTGTTACCGGTACAAAACATATCAAAAAATATGGAATTAATAATGTAATAATAAATGTAAGTTTTTACACATAAGGTAGTCCAGAGCTATTGTGATTTTCTTAAAAACAGTTGATAATAGAAAAAAACCGAAAAAGTTAAAGTGTAAGAATAATTATCTTTCCACGAGACTCTATCTTTTTTAATATAAAAATGTACTAAAAACATAAAATTATAAAAAGATAATCTTGGTCACACATCATTCAAAATTTTTCTCTATCATTTTTACTATTTTTAAACTTAGTCAAGAGAATCATAGTGAACGATCATTCTGGGCCATCCTTTATTTATGCGCGCACGTATATTAACATTACTCGAAGAGAAAAAAAATAGAATGTTAATATTTTACATAAAAAAAAAGAATTAATAATAATTTATATTTCTAAATAACGTTTCTATTACATAATACAAATTGGCTAGAAGATAAGACAATATATTAAATATCCCGATGTAGAGTAATATTTACTCTGTAAATTGTATATAAAAATGTATATTAATTATTTGAAATATTCTTAAGCATAAAATTAAAAAAATAAGCTGTTATTTTTATGAACACGTAGACTTTTCTGTACATATTATTCTTTAATAATTCCAAAAGTTGCACTTTTTTATAGTGATATTAAATAAAAGAACGTGTGATATTTCAAAAAGCATTATTTTAAATTGCGATATTTTTATTTTTTGGAAGACAAAAGTGTGTGTGCATGTATATGTGTGTTTGTGTATGTGCGCTTGTATAATACAAAAATTATAATAAAACTAGAGAAGAGAGTTATATAATTGTTAAATGGCTAATTTTATTTTAATGAATATTATAGTATTTAATATAGTATATATTATAATAATTATATACATAGATACACATACACCAAGATACAACATAAATACATGAAAATTAAGTTTTTCTATCTTAACTTTTTCTATATATAAGTTAATTTGTGAATTAATATGAAAGTTTATATTAGAGTATTTTGATGTATATTAACAGACAGACAGTGAGAAGTTTTATTATGTTTACATTTTGTCACATTTAAATTAACAACATAATAATAAATAAATACAGATATTATCTTGGTGTTTCTGATATATTTAAAAATAATTTACTTACTAAGATAGCTACAGATATGCAATTTCTTTGTTTAATTCTTTTTATTGTATTTATGTAAAAGTGTATAGTTATTATATTTAGAATGTTCTCTATTATTCGCATCCGTACTTAAGTTTTTTGCAATACATATTAATTGCTTCTTGATAACTTCGAAAGTTGCAATTTATTTATTAATTGATGATTATATGGACATTTTTGTTATATCAAATACCATTTAAATATATGAATTTATTATAGAATTAACAAAGTTGTAGAATTAATAAAGTTAATTTTATTTTTATGCATTTTGGATGTGTCTTGCTGTATATATATGATCATGTTGAAATATTTCCCATTTGGCAATAATTTTTATAATTTTCATTGTAATAATTTTATTCTCTAGTGGATATATTATATATATTATTATTAATTTATTAGTGCCATATTATATTTATATTAAATATAAAAGATATGTAAAGATATAATGTGATATATAAATGAGCAGCAATTCATTAATATTTAATTAAGTTTTTTAGAATCTAAAATCTATTTTATCTAATCTATTTTACCTTTTTGTACGAAAAATTTATGTAATAAATTATTGTTACAAAACTCTGTTAAATTTAAATTAATCCAATATTCTTATCTTAATCTTGTTTTAAAAATATCTACTGCTAACAATAAGATACTTAAAAAAGCAACAAGATACTGACAGAAATAATTTTAATAAATAATATTTAAAAAACTACTTGGAAACAATCTGAAAGAGAGAGAAATATATAAGAAAATGAGGGAGGAAGGGAAAGAGAACTGTGATGCTTGACAAACAAAAAACGGAAGATAAGAGGTTTGCAAGATAGGTAAAACTAGAAAAATTAAAAGAGAAGAATAAGATAGGAGTAAATAAAATTAGGAAGACAGAAAGCTATAATAACATATCATTAGAAAAAGAGAGAATGAAAAGGACAATAGAATCCGGATAAGTTTGCTTGGATATATATATCTTATATACAACTCTTTGGTACCTCTCCACATATATTTTCTTCAACCTTAATATTGCGTAGGAACAAGAGTTATAGCAACCAATATAGCACACATAAGTCGATTATGAATATAAATAGCTCACCATGCGTGACACTGATATCACGTAACATAGACCTACAGCACAGCTACAGCACACTGAATTACTGAGCGAGTTTTCAAAATTCAAGAGGCCAATTTGTAGAAAAGGATATATACATGCTGGATGGATCACTATCTTTGTCAGGGCTTCGCCGATTGGTTGATACTGGGTACGGTCTGGGAGACGCTTTGAATGTGAAGCGTTTGATTGGCCAATCAGATTTAAAAAATTTTTTACTCCTTTTGTTCTGATTGATCAATCAAACGCTTCAAAGCATCCAGAGTATCTTCTTGACCGCAGCCATTGGCCGCATTCAGCGGACTCAACAGCTAAGTAACAATCGAACATAATTGGTTTCTACTTTCAGATCCGACCAATCAGCATCGAATTACATAGGAATATCTAGAGAACCTCTAGGAGAGAGAATGGACAACTGATCATGTGACATGTGATCAAGCTTTTTCATGATTGGCTGGCAGAAAATGTATCAATTTTAGCTATTGCGACGCCAATGCAAAATATGATACACACAAATAGGTTAATATATGCGTGTCATGTGTGTCCTATTTGTGTGTCATCATATTTTGCATTGGCGTCGCAATAGCTAAAATTGATACATTTTCTGCCAGCCAATCATGAAAAAGCTTGATCAGTTGTCCATTCTCTCTCCTAGAGGTTCTCTAGGAATATCTAGTAATGTTGTCTAACTGTTGAGTCCGCTGAATGCGGCCATTATATGCAATAGAAGATACTATAGAGTTCAGTGATATCTTTAACTGTTAGCGATCTAATAAAATAAAAGTCTGTGGTCAAAACGAACACAACCGGCCGTAACCTTCATAAGTTGTTCGTTCCAGAATATTCCAACCTTAAATTGCTTAGAATGTGATTAGTAAGTTTAAACGCTATGCCAGAATCAAGCTACTACGACGAGGTGGAAATCGAGGATTTCGAATACGACGAGGACGAAGGAATATATTACTATCCGTGTCCATGCGGCGATCAATTCCAAATATCTCTCGCCGAACTGGCCTGCGGCGAGGAAGAAGTCACATGTCCTTCCTGCTCTCTCGTAATTAAAGTAATTTATGATAAAGAATTATTTCGCGCTAAACAAGAGGAACTTGAGAAAAAAAGCGAAAAGAAGGAATTGACAGCGCAAAAAGTTTGAAGCTTGAAATAAAATTATTGTTGAAATATTTCTTGAGGTAAATAGACTAGGATATTACCCTACAAAAGAATGCAATCTGACATCAGAGAAAGATAGTTTAAACTAACATTTAATACATAAAAAATAATAATTTACAAGTTGTAAAACTCATGCAATTTAAGAAATTAAATTAATTATGACATTTTGTTATATTTAAAGAATTTTATATAATTTTTTAACTTGAATACTTTTATATAATACTTTTAATACTTTAATACTTTTTTTGAGAAGTATTGTCATTTTTGTAACATTGATATTAATGTTATATATTTTTATCACTGATTAGGATCATATACAATCAAAATGGCAGGACGTGGCAAAATAAAATCAGGTATGTCTTTCTCTATGGAGCAATTGGGCTTCTCTAAAGGAGAAATGTTACCAACACCAGTTTTGCAACCATCACCAAGTTATCCCATGTTAGATCATAAGGCTTTACCAGTACAGATAACAACTGAGATGGGTTATTTAGTAGAATTAAAGAGAGCTTTCACTGAGTATATGCGGGAGTCGTCAAACAATGTGCAAGCTGTTATATTGAACGAAGATATTGAACGATATTGTGAGGATTATGAAGAGGCTATGACAAGATATAATACATTGGAATATGAATCAAATTATGATTGGAGTAGAATGCCGATGGAATTAAAATCATCTCGAAAGCGTAAAATCCAGCAACAAAGTGTGAAGCCAAGTAAGAAAAGGAAGGTCAAGGTGGAATTGGACATTGAAACAAAACTGATGGAATTGGAGAAAGAGGAAGATACAAAGCGGCTTGATATAGAGGAAGAAGTGGAAGAAGAAGAAGAGGATGAAGATCAGGAAGAGAAGACAAGTGAACGAGTGAAAGATGAAGAAGAAGTAGATGAAGAAATGGATGATGGGACTGATTATGCAAATGAATATTTTGATACTGGTGAAAATTATTACAGTGAAGACGATAATGATGATGTAGCTGTTTTTTGATATGTAAATTTAATGTATTCTCAATTTTAGAATTATTAATCTCTCACTAAATTTGAATAATGTAAATGTAATATAATTTAATAGTGTAAATATTATAAATTTAGTTCATTTGTGTGATAGATAAATTTTTTTTTATTTCTAATCGAATTGCATGTTATTAATTTTAATAGCATTGTCTAAAGATAAAAATCTACATGTGAATTTAGTTAATATTAATCCTTTACACTCGGAGTTATCTCTGCTTAACTCACAATATCTCCTCAAAGGGGACATCCTAGTGTAAAAGATTAAATTAGGGATGAGTATATCATGACGAGCTCATTGAATTTGTACTGCTTCATATTTTTTCCATTTCTTTAATTATGTATATAATATAATATGTAAGCAAATTTTTGATCAAGTGATAGTTTTAATAAGAACAAGATATTTGTTAACACATAATTGTTTATTGTATTTGACTCTTTGTTCTGATTGTATTTAATTTATTGTATTTGATTCTTTATTCTGAGGAAATTCTAATCTTCAATCTTAATCTTTAATTTATAGTTTAATATCGGCTTTTTGGTCAGCTGCATTAATTGTTAGGTAAAAATAAAAATAAATTCGAGGTTCGCTTATTCGCTCGGCAGAGATAAGAAGATAGTAGGAGGAAATTTTTAAGTGAAATTTATTACTATTTAAATTTAGTAAAATAAAAAACATGTGATATTTAAATGGTAATTATGGTAAAAAATTCAAGTAATAATCTCGAATTAATATATTTTCACATATACTAGGAAATTAATTTAAAATTATATTTGCAATTATTTAATTAGTATAATATGTTCTTTATAATCCTGTTTTGTTTTTCGCTTTTCTTCGTCGTTTTATAATAGATAATTATATTATGGGCGGGGCAGAAAAATCAGTCGACGACGGTTTAGCAACCCATCATACATTCAGCGATATCTAAAAGACATCACAAATTCTTCGAAAATTAATTTTAACATCAATTACGTTATGTAACTCTTAAGGTTTCCTTCAGATTTCTTATTCGCACTGCTCTATGACACGTTGTATAACAGTTATTAGCAAAATTGATTTTTCTTGGAAACGATACTAAATTCTTCAGAATATTCTGCTTTCTAATTAGATCATTTTTCCATCATTTACGCACAATTATAAGATAACACACAACGTGTCCAGCACGTTAATTTGCCACAACGAAAAGTTGTTTTGCTATAATGGATAAAAATTCATATTTTCAATAACTTGCTATAATTGATAAAAATTCATATTTCCAATAAAAAATATCCACAATATTTTCCTACATATTTTTTATCAATTGGAAAAGGATAACAAGAAAATGTAGAATATTTCGCAATGCATGTATCTTGCTAAAAAAAAGTCCAATGGCCTTTTTTTCTACAGCTTTTCTTAACTATATTATAATCACAACAACCAAGTGCGTTTCGATTAGAATAAAAGAAAGAGCAAAGCGTATTTTTGAATATGAAAATAATACATATACATGGAATACATAATTAGCTAACTAAAATAGAACCTCGAAATAGAAATAGATAGTATTCGTATTTTACGCACTAGACTATTTCTAGTTAGAGTAAATAAGGGTGAAATAACAATCCAAACGCATCTGTGGACGCAATGTCTTCCTCCGACGATGTAAAGATGTATTTGCATAAGCTTCACATGGCCTTGTATTTGATGGGAATGGGGTATTTTATTATAATGAGCCAGAGCGCTATACGATGTACTATTTCGAGGTTCCACATATAAATCTCGCAACAATCGATCCAATGGCACAATAGAATTATTTCATTATTTATGAGTCAAGAATACGAAATTTCTCATAGTAAATATTTTAAATGCGTTTGTAAATAAACTTGTAAATTAATACAAATGCAATAATATTAATGCAATAATAAAGATAATGCAATAATATTAATGCAATGATAAAGATGCTAATAATAAAAATGTTGGATGCGATGGACGTAATATTTGCCTTTGCTTTCAATTGTTATGGAGAGCGAAGAGAGATTGTTTTGTCATAGATTGTGAATTGCATTTTAATGAACATGACACGAGATCTAACATTTTGAAAAATCACAAAAACATGTCGACTTTTGAATTCGGACGGGCAGTGTAAGCTTGCAAAGTGCTTTTTTGATGTGCTGTGATATATACGAGTATATGTACCATATTTCTTTTGATAGCGTTTATTTCGAATGCTTAAATTTTTATCATTAAGCAAAAAGAAGCAAAACTTGTTGCATTTGAGTCAAGCGCACAAGTATCATTTTAAATTAAATACTGGAGTTCACATGCATTTAAAATATTCTTTTTTAATCCATTAATTTTTATTTTCATTGTAATTTTCATTTTATTCTATTTTCTCTATTTAATTTTATCTTATTCTTTCCTTAATCCATTTTATTTTATTTAAAATTATATATGAAATTTTCAAAAGCTGAAATTTTATTATTCAATAAAACTTTATATAGTTTTATAGTGATTATATATAGAGAAAATAAAATAAAAATGATAAATTTTAACTTAAATATATAAACAAATTTTTTCCACATTTGTGTGGTTAATATAAAATCTGTTAATAATTAATGATTCTTAGTTAAATTGATTGCCATAAAAATTAATGTATGTTTAATTAATATATGTAATATATTTAATTTAAATGTTAAAAATGTTTGTACGAAAGCGCACAACAAGCTAACAATCGTATTGAGATTGTATTAGACACAAATGAACTTGGAGTTGCAGCCAGTTCTTCATCGTCACTTAAACGATGTTATGAAGCGTCTATGTCTGTGATGGAACAATCGGTGACGATGATAACTCCTATCAATAGAATTTAAAAATTCAGATAACGATCGTCTAAGAGACGTCATAAAGATTTATCACAATCTTTTAATTTTTAATCTTTTCAAATATATCTTTCGGACGCCTTTTAAATGTCTCTTGTGCAATTTCGTGTTATTTGGGAAAAATGATTGGCATTTTGGCTCGTATGTTGTAGTAAAAGATTATTTATCTTGAGTTTCGTGAATCAAAACCACATGATTTATTCTAACAATAAGTATCATTATTTCTCTTTCCTTTACTTCAGTGATTTGCTAACAGTTTTTCTAACATTGAGTAAGAATATTTAATCATCGCGTTACAATTGCGACATTGAAAGGCAAAAGGCAAACGTACAAAAAGGATTATATTCTTGCCCAAAATTTGTCGCAATCCTAAGTAAAAGATCATTCTCTGGATGAAAAATTAGGCCGATTTTTTACGCAATGGACTTTTGGAGGGAAGCGCTACTGTGCGATTCGTATACATAATATGCTTCAGTGGTCCTCAGATTTTTCCTATTTTACGAATAATTTTCAAATCTTATTCTGGAAATTGTCAAATAATTATTAAAAGCAGTAAACTATAAGTATTTACCTTTCATGGACATTTACATAAATAAAATGATACGATTTTTAAATTATAAAACGAAGATACAGTAATGTACCTATAAAATTGGAATACATTTTTATCTTTGTAGATTTTTATTTAATTATTTTTTTGTAATTAAATAATAAGAAAGATAAATATGTAATATATATATATATATATATATATATATATATATATAATTAAATATATAAGATTAAATAAACCAATCTCAATTTGTTTGTGTATTATCTCTTGAAATAAAATCTGAGAATCACCGATCGACTTGAAGCTTTCACAACAGCTAAACTTTTATTTACGCCGGATGAAACTTGTTTATCGTTCTCTCACACAGTCAGGTTAACAATTATTCTTGTCATTCGAAATCAGCTTCACGTTCAATATCGAATAACGATATCATCGTCAGCGATCGCTCGTTTCAGAGCAACACATTTCCTTTCATCTCTTGAATCCTTCATCTTGTGAATCTAATTCTGTCCACTCAATTTCTTCCGTCTATTCCAGCTTTTGTTGCTTTTTATGTATTTAGCGGTGTGTGTGTCGTCAGTATTATTAATTATCATTTAACATCATTATTGTTATAATTATTATCGTTACTGCTTTATTACAGTTGATTGGCTTTTGGACGTGGACTGTGGATGGAGTGTAATGTATATGCGTGTGCACGCTAAAAGAAAAAAAACCCTTTTTTTCGCCTTTTAACATTCTCAAACGAGAACGAGTGAGTGTTTCCCGAATTCTTTGGTTCATCCGACAACTGAAAAATGATGAAAATAAAATAAATTTCATTTATTTACCATTTTGCAATAGAATATCAAAAAAATTTAACGTTTAAATATAATTTAATTTAAATTAAATTAAAATTATATTTAAATTTAAATTTAATTAATATTTAATTAATTTAAATTGTCTTTTATATATAAAATGTTCGAATAAAATTTTAATATTTTTTCAGTTTTCTTAAATCGAATATACTTCATGTTTTAAAATATTTAAAATATTTAAGATATTTTTTTATTACTTGTCACGGATATTTGATGGTAAATAATAAGAACATTTTCAATTTTTATCACAAATCTAAATGAAAAGTCGGTGAACTCTCGCTCGTCATCGATCTCTCTCCAAACTTTTTTAGATCTTTTTTTCATCATCATTATCATCATCATTGTTTTCTTCAAAAAGGAATGTACGAAAGAATATATACACATTTGCGTAAGAAAACAGACGGAATATACAGCATGCATAAATAGCGTCCACTTTTTTTCTTGTTCTTTTCTTTCGATTCGCTTATGATTCAGAAATCCCTATTTTCATTTTCGATAAATTTTAGTATAACGCTGGAATCGCATTCCTCGAACGTAATCGTCATAATTATCGTCGTCGTCACACACATAGCAATATTTTATGTTAAACCTTAATTGCGAAGATGTTCAACGCACTACATACTCTGTGTGAAAAAACACTACACTTCACTACAGTGACTTATTTCGCTTCGTAAGTGTGATGATTAAATTGTTCGAGACCGCTTTCCCGACCATTTACGCCGCGATTTGCGGTGAACGATGCAATAAAAATTAATTATTTCTGCCTTTCGAAATATTTTTACTGTAATAGTATGTGATGAATTTAATTATACAACCTCTTTTCTGTAAAAAAAGTCGTGTTGCTTGTAGTCGCAGAATTTGCGATACATACGTAGTACAGTTCTTATTTCTAGAAATTGATGTAAATTTTAGTTGCAAAACAATTGAAGATATTTCTATTTTACATATTGTATATATATTCATCTGTTTGGAATATAATTATCATTATATTCCATTATAATTATCATTATATTATCATGTCATGTTCTCATTATGACAAGGTATAAAACTTGAAGTAATCGGTGCTGCGGTTTTATAATTAAGATTAATTGTTTAAAGCAAATTTTTACAAATGGCATGGAAAATGTGCTTAAAGCTATATTTTAAAAGTGTGAATAAGAAATGTCATTTATTACACATTTTTCTTAGCTTTTTTTTAGCTAGAAATTAACAACGGTGAACTCGTTCACAAAATCACACGCGAGATGGTCGAGATTCGGTTTGGAAATGGAATAAGTTTTTTCGTGACAATAACATGTAAAAAAAGAGATTTCCTCTCTATTCGAAAAGAAATTTATTTCGCGGCTCTGCATCCCGAGGATTCCACAGATCTCTTCAATCTACTAGGTATGTAATTCTTATCTTACTGTTAGACATTATTCTGCACAACAAGATGAAAAAAAAATTAATTTCCTAAAATTTAAAAATTAATACAAAAATAATAAATTACACACATATAAATATACTACAATTAAATAAATATTTCAAATATATTACATTTATTTATAAATAAATAAAAATCGATTAATTTGATTGTAACTACTTTGTCGTAAAATATTTAGGCATAATCTTCTGCAAATAATTAAGTTGCATAATAGTATTTCATTGAATAATATTATTTAATAGTGATATTGCCGATCTGAAGAATTCTCAATGAGATACCGCACTTTATTTATAATCCGCGAGTGCTATAATATCCCATAATTGTATACATAGTGTATACGTGTTAATATAATTATTATATATTCCATATATAGACTTATATAAAACGCACGAGAAGCGATTAAAAGGCTACTTATTCTTCCCGATTTTATTTATTTATAGCAACAAGCTGTTTTTTTACCTATCGATACTCGATACTCGGCTTCGAGTTTTATAAATGGAAAAAGAATTCGGATTTAACTATGTGTCGATCTCGTATGTACGGGACCACTTTAATATCCTATATAACGTTAATGTATTCGCGTAAATGTGTATTTCGTCTTAAATACTTGTCCACGTGTCGGTAAATGCACGTATGTATGTGCGTACGTGTATTTGTATCCGCATATATGTTTGATATATATATATATATATATGTGTGTGTATATGTGGATAAAAAAAGAAAAAGTTTTTGATAAAATAAATCCTTTTACATCCCATTTTTTGCAGCTAATTTTGCACAAAGAAGAAACATTACTATATATATTTATCCCATATATTAATATAAATAAAACGATGTATTTTGACAGATACACTTTGCAATATTTTTTTGTCTTTTATATGAAATATGAAAAATATTCCAAACAAGATGGATGAGCAAATAAATTTACGCACCTATATGCATCTCACGTGATCTATTGTATTTTGTTTTTGCAACCTATGAAATCACGCAATGAGATTATTGATCAATCGAAGATGAAATATACGAATATCTTTTTAGCATGTGTTTGTATATGTAAGCATGTGTGTGTAAATGTTAAATAGTTATGTTCTCAAGTTATTCCTTGAATTCGAAACCGACGCATTACCTGCACGCACCGTCATTGTATAAGTTTTTCGTGTCAGTCCTTCACCCTAATTTGGATTCTTTATCTTTACGTTTTTTTGTCAGGAATGACATCATTTTTTTGTTAATTGTTTTGTAATAATGATATATCTGCGCGGATCCACGATATTCTACGGTCTATCTTCTAATTGCGAAGAAAGAAAAAACTTTCTTATTAAAACTTTCGTATTAATGATCGATAATTTGATTTAAAGATTTTTTTATCGTTTCGAATTTATATTCCTTCGTGGAAGTTTTAGGATCTAATCTTGTTTAATTCCAGATATTTAATATCATCTTGATCATTTTGATCGTATACTATTTTTGCACTTTAGTTGTCTCCAATAAACGCGTAAATCAATTATCGATCATAATTTTCAGGAATCTTCAGCAGCATTGATTAGTTGTTACAGTTGTCTCTTGCCTTTTTATTTTTTAATGAAAATATTTCTTTTCATATTGATGTGCGATCGTATTCTTTGAGAAATTCTAATTTATATTCGGTAAATGTGATTTTTTTTCGAATATCAGAATCAGCAATACGCTAATGTGAAGAAATCTGAAAGGTTTCGGTCACGAGGATCTTAAATTATCATCGGTGATCAGTGGGAAAAGTTTTTTTCGGGGACATTATCTCGGCTCATCTCTTCACTTTTTCATGTACTACTATCTCGTTTCTCAAGCAATTAGAAGCTATGACAGTACGTGGTCAGACCAACGGGAAGGAAGGTGGAATTTTGTCCCTTTTCAGGGAGGGTCATCTTGCCTTTCCGAGACAAAAAACGTGGAATCCTTCGTTGAAACGTTCTTTTCCTTTTTTTTTTAAAGAACGCGGGAGACTTCTAATTCTCTGAGCCATTATTACCTTTTCCCCAGAACTTGTCAAAGCGATTACGCGCTTTTTCAAGAACGTCACTCGCCGCCGAGCGTTGTGTGGATTCCGGCACTATTGCTGGTGCCTCTAAAACGTGATAACCGCCTACAGTGCTACTTCCGGTGCTCGTAGTACCGCCAGTATCCTGAGGTGACGATTCAGCCTCGAGAATACGGTAACTTTGTGTTGCAGGTGACGTAGATGACGTAGTTGTTGTCACCAGCGTCGTCGTTGTCGGCAGACTGCTATCTTTTTTCTTCTCTTCGAACATCGGATCCTCCAAGCATCTCAAATTCGTACCTGCCACGGATTTTGCCGACGATTCTGGGCTTTGTCGTTCTTTCGTCTCCTCAATTATCTAGAATTGAATATAGGAAGAATAATTCTAATTATCTCTCTCTTAAGTGAGTTATCGCTATTTTATATTTCGCATTTATTTATGTAGCATAAATCAGATTTATGTAAACTAATTTAGATTATAGATTAGATTCCATATTTAGCAAGATGTACGTATGTATCTGTTGAGTCTCTTTTCTTTATCGAATAAAATATAATAATTAAGAAGTTCGTGAGTTCTCACAAGTATACACGTACCTCTACCTCTCTCTCTCTCTCTCTCTCTAAGCCGTATATTTTTGTCAGAGGATAGTCATCCCTGTATATATTTGCGGTGTGCATCTTTTATTAATTTTGCCGCAAATATACGGGACCTACAGTTTAATCTCGGTTCCAAAATTTCGGCAAAATTCGTGGGATTCTTTGACAATATGCCATTGCCTTCTGAGAAATGCGATCGAATATTCGATATTTCAGACTGGATTCAAACTCGGCACATCGGGTATGTATTTATGTAAATGTCTTAAAAAGTGTACAAGGTATAAACAAAAGTTGGAATATTATTCTTAGTGCATTCCGGACTAAATCAAACTAACAAGTCTTTTGTAAAACCTTACTATTTTTTTCTCGAACGAATAATTATCAAAATATCGTAAACCAAGATTGAAAATTGAAAAATTTGATCAATAATGCGATGTTAAGCGAATATCGACCTTTAGGAGTAAACTTCAACGCAGATTCTTCACTATCAAGAAGCAGCACATGAATATAATAAGATTCATGCATATATTTATTTTATACATAAAAATGAAAGATGAAAGAATTAATGCAATAGTGAAGTCAAGCGTTGAAAAATTATTATATTTCTAGAATAACTATCTGCTCCTTCTTTAGTACAATATCTGTCCATCACGTATTATTGGTCAAATTTTTCTCTATTTAAATTTTTAATTTATTATATCTCGATAATCATTGAAAGAAGAAATAGTAAAGAACTTTTCGACACATTTCAACTTTATTCCAAAAATACACTATTTATAAAATAATTTCCCAACTTTTCTTTACATTTTATAGTAATGTTTCTAACCTTCTCAGTCTTCGTGGATGTATCCTGTATATTCGTGGGCAATGGACTATCCCTTTCTGAGTCCAGATCCTTGTGGCCGTTTATGCCGCTAAAACTACCAAGTGAGACGCTTTCACTCTCGGGCGACTTGTAGCCGGAGTGCTGAGAATGCTGTGATTTATGTTGTGCCGCGAGTTCTGGAGGTGCTGATTGCGGTGCTGATGGTACAGACGATGGTGCCCACGTCTTTGTCTCGCTATGCGGACGCGTGAGGGGTTCTTTGAAAGAAATAATTAAAATTACACTCAAAATAATATTATATCTCATTATGTATTTAATTAAAATTATAACCACAATTACTAGTAATGTAAAAAAAAAATGCTAAAATCGACATATCATTTTTGAGTTATCATTTTTAATCTCTAATAATAAGAGAATGATAAAATAATATAAAAATAAAATAAAATAATAGAATTTATAAAAATATAAAAGTTTAAAATGTGAAACAAAATTGAAAGAGATAGACCATAATAAATATATATTAAATTAAATAACTTAAACTGAACTCTGTTGTGAGTATAATAGTTGCTTACAAAAGCTATCTGGAATGGAAAGATATGCATAATTTACTTTATAATAATATATATCGGTTTTTTAAATGTTTTTTTCTCTAAAATTCTTTCTGTAAAGTTTTTTTTCTAAAATTTTCATCAAAGACACAATTAATTCTTCTGAAAAGCTTTTCGATTATTATTATTTTTCGTTTAATGCCACCAAATCATCTTACCTTCTCGGACATTTTGCGTAACAGTGAAAGTTTTGCCAGTGTCAAGAGGTACGGTCCAGTTTACAGGTTCTGGCGAACGCATGATCATCTGTTCTGGCGACTTTACCCTTGTCGGTTCCGGCGGACTCTTCACTACTGGTTCGTCATCCAACCATTGATTTGCTTGTGTAGCAGATATCGGTGCTACCGCGTGTGTTTGCGACGGTGGCGTCGAAGCGACACTTGAGTCTCCACCGGTGACATCCCCGTTTATCTGGGGCTCCGCCGTCACTGGAACGTTTGGAGCAAACCGTTTTATTCGTCAATATGGTAAATAATCGTCCTAAATCCCGTGTCTCGACGATGATGAGTTGAACTGCCTTTGCACTCGATGATAAGTTAAATTGCCATCAACACGTATGTTACATAATTCATTCATCTTAATATTAATTTCATAATTTACTTATTTATTTAATTACTTTATAAATTGCTTATAAAATACTGTTCTAGTTAACAATTAATAATGTACGCGAATTAAACAATATTTAGATGTTAATTATCATGTTGCAATTCGATTTGAAATTTGCTATTTACAATAATTTAAAAATTTACGTAAATCACTGACTTGCATGTCTTGTTAATTTAAACGTTTTTCTTACATATTATGTACATTTACTTACATTATTTCTTAATTTTCTATACATTTTATAACACTAATTTGGCTAGAAAAATCTAGAATACTCTGTATCGTCGTTTGTTGATTATATAATATCAATACTGAATATGCGCTGATTATTTTGCGTTGCCGTGAAAATATATTCATATATTTATTAATGTGCAGAAAACAAAGATCGTGATATATATATATTTTTATATATTAGTCTCAATATCATCTTATCTTTTTGAGAGAGAAGGGATCAGATTTAATGCCATCGAGTGCAGGCGAAATTCTCTCTTGAGTGTGAGTAGAAAAGAATATACATGAAGGTTGCGAATAGTACATATACATATACATATACATATATGTGTGTGTGTGTGTGTGTGTGTGTGTGTGTGTGTGTGTGTGTGTGTGTACCCGGAATCTATGTGTGTATATTGTGTGTGTGTGTGTGCGTGCGTGCGTGTGTGTGTGTGTGTGTGTGTGTACACATATATATGTGTATATATACACATAAGTTCCGGAAATACGCATTGTACTTAGGATGCAAAATAAATACGCAACAATACATACATACAAATACAGACATACGACAAAAAATATAGAAAGGCACAATGCGAATGTGTGTGTATACACACGAGACACGCGATACATAGATACATATAATATGATATGTGCGAATATATGTGTTGCCCAACAGGTTGATAAAAGATATAACATACACTATATGGTTTTCGTTGTAAATTGCGGAAACTATTTCTCAGTTCCTTACAAATTAAGCGTTATATTATATGCCTTGTTGTCTGTCTGTTTGTTTGATGATTAAGTTTTTAGAAAAAGAAAAAAGGGATTATATAGAGAAAAGAGTGATATTTGTGCTATAAATAACCAATTTTGTTCTCTTTTGAAAAGACATTTCCCGTTACGTCCATAAAATGTTTATTTTTCAAAGAAAATGATACTTGTTTTAAAAGCATTAAATGCCAATTAGGTTGATAAAATTTCTTTAAGTGAGATTTCATTTTCCTTAACATTACTTTACAATTTTATAAATGAAAATTATCTCCACTATTTTAGCGAAATAAAAAGAGAAAAAAAATAAAAAGCTCTATTTAGTAAAGAGCTTTTATATTCTTTCATTATTATTATAAAAACATCTGATAAATTATGTATCATATATATAATTTTAAAAGAGCACATTATAAATCAATTATTATTACTAAAAATATTAAAATTAATTACACTGAAAAGAAATTTGATGTCAATATATGTTTCCAGAATTATGTTATTTTTTAATATTTTCAATTATTATATTTGTGTCAATCAGATAACAATTTTTCAAAGAATTATGGATTGAAAAATTGTCTTTACTTATATTGTCTTTAGATACATGTATACCATTATATCTCATTGTCAGAAATACGAAAGAGAGTAATTGTTAATATATTTAAACGACGTTCCACGGATTACATAGTTGGTAATCCAAATATTAGCAATGGAAGTTGAAGGCTCTGATATCAAATATCCATAATATGAGAAACAGGTTAATGAGAGTCAGGCACAGTAAGCAGAGCGCAATTTTTCATTTTCTCTAATATGGTTTATTAATTAATCTATATACATTCCGATTGCCTAATTAGATCATCATTAGTAAAATAATTAAAATAATGAATGCATACGTCCTTCTGTAATCTCGATAATTTCTATATGACGGAATAAAAGCCTCTCTCTTCAATTCCAAAATGTTGAAGAGAGAATTTCACTCATAATTTAAAAGTATCATGTAATGTCCAAAAACTTAATAAATTTTCGCATAAGCATTTCCAGCTCAACATACTGAGAGCCATAAGAGTCGGAGCGCAATTATCAGTTAAATAAATATCAAAGTATTTCACTTATAAAAATCAGTATAACAAAAACTATTATAGCCTTAATATTTTTGTATTAAAATTTTGACTTTATGTTCTAAAATACATAATTATGATAAGTGATAATTTGTATAAGTTATATATATGAGCACTCTGTACATACACACCCGCACACATTAATTCTTGTGTTTGATTTAATATACTGGGTAAAATATAAAATGTAATCTTTCAAACGGAAAAATGGGATAATTAATTAGCCGGTAGACAATTTTTTTCCTATCGCATCACATCAATTTATCTATCCATTGGGTGAAAAGGAGAAGAAAAACAAATTTTTCAAATGGAAATTTCCGGCAAAATTGATATCCCTTAATCAATCTTTAAGAGACAAATTCCAATGATCTATAATGTTATGTTTAATATTATAGTTGCAACGAATTTTTGATAGTTGCCTCAGGAGGATATTGATTTTTATTCGATGCAATTTGATAATATTTATAACATAATATAATAACATCTATAATATTTATAACATAATATAATAACATCTATAATATTTATAATAACATCTATAACATAATATAATAAAATAATATTTTAGGTCATTGGATTTGCCTTTTTAAGACTTGGTATTATTTTTATTGAGGATTTCCATTTGAAAAGTTTGCTTTCCCTTCTCTCCTCACTAACAGAAAATGGATTTCATAAATTGACGTGGCTCAACTGAACTCGATTCGAAATTAGGTCACCCTATTAATTAAGTCATTTTTATTTTTTTATTTTTTTCGTTTAAAGGACTATATGTTACATAATAGAGTCGGATACTAAATTGAACATTATATATATATATATATATATATATATATATATATATATAAATGTATATTTAAGTTTTTAATAATGTATATTTCGTTCATTCTATAGATGTTTCCTTAGTTGCTTAGATTTTTAAAAATGTCTTTGTTTTTATCTTTATTATTTTCCTTAGAGAGAGAGAGAGAAAAGAGCAATCAAAATAATTATATTAAAATCTTCCATAAATCGATGTATCCTGCTTATTATATATATATATACAGGATATTCGAAAAGTGTGGGACCCCCCTATTATCTCAAAAAGAATGCACTTTCACGGAAAATGACTTGAACAAAATGTACAGAGTAATGAGAAGAATTAATTGGTGCAAAAAAACACGTAATTGTTTCGAAAAAAAAATGTAATTGTTAATTGCAAATTACATTTTTTTTTCAAAACAATTATGTGTTTTTTTTACGCCAATTAATTCCTAGCTACAAGAGTGTGCAAAAATATACAGGGCATCCCATTTAAAAAATTCAATTTGACCTACAAATAACCCCCAAAGTCAAGTTCAAGGTCACCACAAGATAATACTTTACGACTCCTACAACTTTTGTTCAAGTCATTTTCCGTGAAAGTGCGTTCTTTTTGAGATAATAGGGGGTCCCACACTTTTCGAATACCCTGTATATACTGATATAATATAATATTTTGAAATGTCAATAATTCACGAAATGTAAATAAATTTGACTTGTTTGATTTATATTTGCTTTCTAATGATAATAACTGTTAAATTACTTGTATTCATAAAGAATTTTAATATTAAAATAAATAAAAAATTATAAATATTTATTAAGGTTTATAAATTGATGATTATAATTTGTAGTTTGAGAATTCTTTATAAATAAAAAATATGTGTGTAATCATAAAATATAATCAGTAAATGAATAATATGTTACAGTATTTTCCGTATTTTTATTATATTTCTGTAGTTTTCCCTGAACTGATTTTAAAAAACAATTTAGCAAATTTCAATTTCCATCTTTTTCTATTTTTAAAAGAAATTATTTGCATATAAAATATTTGGCTTAATATAGTCTAGAATCTTATTAGTTTTGGCTCTCTGAGAAGATAGGAGCAAAAAATAGAATAATAAGATAAAAAATGTCTACTTTTTTATTTTACTTTTTTCCCATCATTTACTAAAAAATAATATATAATTTATCCTTTCAATCTTATCTAGAAATTTATTTTAATATTTCATCTTAAAGGGAAAGAGAGATCATTATATTTTATGCAATAAATTCTCTTTCATGTGTACTAAACCTTAAAATATTTATCATAGTCATAGCATCTAAATATTATCTTCGCTAAATTGACATTCTGCTAAATTGACATCGTGCAATATGACGAGAGAAGATAATGGTTAGAGCGCACAGAAAAAAGGAAGGAACAAGAAAGAGACATAGGTGAGTGAGAGAGTGAAAGATTACACAGAGGTAGAGAAACAGAGATATCCTGTACCAAAGTTACACCTACGTATAGATACACAAAACAGCGAGTACACGAAGCGACGATACTGATCAATGATTGAGCAACGTCAAAAAAAAAGGAGCAAGATGCTATAAACCGAAACCACGACAACATGCTACTTACTAGCTTGGACGACGGCAGTAGCGGCTTGATTTGATGCGGATCGCGTATCGAGGGATGATTTGGATGATGGATCATTGCCGGCGGCTGCAGCCGCAGCTGCTGGATGCCCGCGGGCCAATTTTGTCTGAACCTCGTCATTCGCACTTCGGCACCTTTGGCTTAAATCTTTAACGCCGCGCTCCGGCCTGGCCGCAGCAGCAGCACCCGACGTAGGTGGGTGATGGACGGTCGTATGAACCGAATGCTTTACCGGGGAACGTTTTACCGGGGCGGTACTTGCACTAGTACTGTTAGCGGTAGTGACAGTGGTGGTGGTGTTGGTGGTGATGGTGGTTGTGAATTTGGCATGATGAAGAGGGCGATGGGGAAGGGCGGTGGTCGCGAGGAAGGCTAAAACATATCGTACAAGAAACAGTACAATTGATGATTAAAGCTCTAGGCCGTTTCTTGTGCGCTCGCAAAAGCTTGCCTAGTCTGTCTAATCCTGGCAAAAGTTGAAACTAGTAGCTCATTGGAAGCATGGTCTTTGGTATCTATTCGCTCTTGTGAAACTGAAAGAAAGCTTTCGATAAAAACATAAAATGATTAATTTTGTTTGCAAAAGTTTAATCTTAATATCTATGCATCTCATATTTTTTGTGTTCAATTATATCGATATAGTTTGATTTTATCAATAATTCTTTTTTTGACAAGTTCCAAATTGCTTATTATGCAAATTAAACTGCTGCAATATATTTAAAATATAGATATTTTTTTACTATATAGAACTTATTATGTATAGAGAAATGAGTTCTTTATGTATAACTTTCTCTTTTGAAAATATGTGTTAAAAAATAAGACAATCTTATTTTTAATAATATATTATTTTATCAAAATGTTATCCAATAAACATTGTTTATTGCAACATGTTTATTGTAATAATATAATGTAATAATTCACGAATAATATAATGGACGTTATTTATATGATATAAAAATATTATATGTAATATATGGGGCTCAAAAGTTCAGAGAATTTTAATTCAGTGCACAAATCAAACGTTCGGCCTACCATTGTTGAATAAAATAAGAATGGTTGAACTCTTTGTGAATTAGTGTGCCAATAATTGTTAAGTGCGTTCGCGAGTTAGTTCAGTGAGTTTTTGTTCCATTGTATTTTAGTGGTTTACGATTTTTTAAACCTGCGTACAGATAATTTGTTCATAAAAAAGAATTGCTTATCTCATCTGTAGATCACACTGTTCTATACTGAGATTATGTGGTCTACGTGGGCCATTTAAGTTTTTAAAGCTGTGTGATCCACCAATAGATCACGTTGCAATACTTTTCTATAGTACTTTTGAATTGTATAGCCCTATCTCATCTTTATTTTTTTCTGCCTCTATATTTATAAAATATCCTGCAACAATTTTTTCTCTCTGCGAGATCTATAATGAGTTTAAAATTCGTCAAAAATCATTTAGACGACTCAAGATAAATTGGAATGAATTGTGGGAAAAATTGAGAATGATATATTAGACTCTTTGATACGGAGTAATTCTTTGAAAATGCCAAACCGATAAAGGGATGGGCGGGCAGCAGGTAGATAGCCAGGTATAGTAAACGTACATTTACGATGCGCGGCTTGCAAGGGTTTCCTGTGAAGTAGAGTAGGCCCTGGGCCCGGGGGTGGCGGCGATAATGGCGGTATAGATGGTGTCAACGAGCCAGTCACTGAGGAAACTGGAGTCGCGAACTCTCGTATGCTCCAACGGACACGATGGCCTGGGCCCGCCGCTGAAACACCCGCTGCCACACCTAATCAATCTAATTCACGACACCTATCCCCAATTGTATATTCTCATGAGAGAAAAAAGAATAGAATTTGCGAAGAAGATGCATAATTCGAAACGAGTTTTGAGAAGATAAGCATGATAGGAGATGATTAAAATGATAATAGTGATAACGATAATAACGAAGCGCGATAATGATAGCGCAGACGTATGAAAATCGAAGTAAGATCGTCTTGAGAAAATAGGGAATATGAGGACAGCTAATTATTGATGATGATGTGCTGTCTAGTGACTTTACAATTAATATCATTAAACTTTCGCATAAATTGAAGCCATTTTTTAAATATGCATTTGTATGTATGTAGTGTGTGTACACAAATAATATATATAAATTTTGTCATTGATTGAAACTGGATTATCAATGGGTTATATAAAAACGATGATAGATTTATGATTAATTAATTCTCCACTAATGGATGCTGAGTCATTCATGACCCATATATCTTAAAAATATTTTATAAAACTCGTGCGAAAATAAAATCAAAACAAATATTTTATGTGTGAGTTGCACAAAAATATTAATATTAATATAAAATATTAATATTATATATATATATATATATATATATATATATATATCAATATTTATTATATATCCATATTTTTATTTCAAAAATATTTGTCTTTTTTTTAATTGTCATATATAAGTAATATTTTAAGAAAGAAAATATTTAAGAATACTATATATTTAACTTACTATACAAATTAAAATATTTATTATAAAATTTTACTTTAGGATACATATAAGAAATTTTAGGATACGTAAAAGAAATTTTGTATAGATCGGAAATGATTTATCGCGCGACATATAGAGTCATCCATCCATATTATAGAATCATCCATCTGTTGTTCTAGAGTTAATATAATAATGTCGAGAAAAAAAAAGAATAATTATCGTTATAGATTTGTGTAGCGATAGATGGGTACAGTGATTTTCCATTAAAAATTATCAGAATACATATCTTCAATTGTAAAATTTGTGGCACACAAAAATAATGGAATACACGTGATTATTTTAAAATCTATTTTTCGTATGGTTTATATTTTTCTATTGAAATTATTTATATACATTTATTTCTTTTAAAAATCTTAAGTTATTTTAATAAATTTGTTTTTCTTTAAAAAGTTCTTTTGTTTTGTACACTTAATAAAAGAATCGAACATAAACATAAAAAACATAAAAAAGAAAATTGAAGGAGAATGGTAAATATATATATATGTATATGTTATAATATTCAATATATATTGAACTTTCTTGTTATATTTTCCACATTATTACAACAATTATTTATTCTTAGATGAAATTAAATAATATAAATCACGAAACACACACGTTGTAGACTTGCATTGTTAAAGTATTAAACATGTAACTGACAATACATTTATTTCCTAAATATTATGAAATGACATGTGTAATGAGTTGCGTACATGAACGATGGAGTCGATATGACCTATCATCATGATTCGTTATATATAAGATAAAAATAGAATTTTGCTTGCTTAATCGCAAAGGATGGCATAGGTTAGGCGAAAAATACATCGCACGATAGTCTTCATACAGTCTATCGATATAACTACTGATTACTAGACGAGAGTTTTAAAGGCAAAGGCAAAGAGATAGAGACAAGTAGATAGGATTGTCATGCATCTGCCTAAACATTAATGAGGAGGCAATTATGAGTAACTGACATTCACCGCATAGCAAATGTTTATGCGAATATATCTCACAAAACATATTCTTAACAGCAATCAAATATATATTATATTTGATTATATATAAAATATAATCAAATGCTTTCTCCTCAGCAATTAAAAATTACATCGTATTTTAAAAAATAATTTAATATGTTAATAATAATTGTAAATTATTTAAACTTTTAAATTAATTAAACATTAATTTCTATTTTTCATTAAATATTGAGCAAAAGGCAATCTCTAATAATCTTAAACTTGACATATGTTGTCAGGGAGGAGATTATGACTTTGAATAAAAGATTTAAAAGATTTTAGTCGTCGTTCATTGTTCATTAAAAAATTGTTATATAATAATTATTAACTATTAATAAAGATTATGCAATTTTCACAATAAAAATGTATATATAATATATAAATTTACATATAATATATAAATTTTAATATATATTGACCAATTTTAATATATATTTGACCATAGTTTACATATGTATTATTTTATATTGAATATACTTTACATACATATTTAAACAGATAACCTCTTTTAAAGCATGTTTAAAAATTTCCAAAAAATTCAAAAGTTGATATATGGACGTGGAAAAGGTACAAATTTGCAATTTTCCACAAAGCGAAGTCTCCTGATGCTTTCAGTGTGACAAAATGTATAATTATATAGTTCTACATGTGGTTCTGCATGATTAACTTTCTGCATATATTAAAGTTTTATTCACGTTTGAATGTTATTTTGCATTGAAAGTTGTAAACCCATACAGAAGTATAAAATTATAAATCTCATCACGTACAACGCGCGCGCGCGCACACACACACACACATACACGCACGCACGCACGCACGCGCATAATAAAAGCACAGAGCAATGTAATAGGGATATTTCTTTGCACAGAAAATTGCAAACATATATGTAAAATTATATAATTATAAACTTCATTCTACAAGTGAGAAAATATGAAATGGATGACATTTCATGTGGAAAGTTGCTTACATGAAGCTTCTTCCATTTCTATATATATTTATTATTTTTAAATCTGTAAGATTTTTAATATTTTTTTACAAGGATCTATATTTGTTAAATTTATAAGTATAAATTATAAGATCTATACAATTATGGTCAGCATTATATTTTTTGTTGTAAGTTTATTGTGATTTGCATAAAACCTCATTTGTTAATAAATTTTTTAATAAACAACGAGCAATATTAAAATATCTTTTGGAAATTACTTATAAAGTCTGATTATATGATCTTGACCACATATGTGAAAGTTAAGACCACTGAAGCCAAGAATCTTCTTTCGTCAATATTTATCATCATTTCTTTAAGTTTAACAAAATGCTGAAATTTGTTAATTAAAAACGGACATATATATATATATATATATATATATATATATATATATATACACATAAATCTCGCGAGCGGTGAGAATCTTTGGCATACAATTTGTATACAAATATAATAATCATGTATACGACGAAATTATGTAACGTTCGGCTTTCGAGGCCCACAAGAGCAGACAGCAATCGAAAAAGTTGTATACAATATAAATATATGTACTCTATTTCTAAATCCAGTTTATGCACGAAAATGCAAAGGGGATTCGATTGACAAATTACGAGCTTCAATCGATTCGGGATACAATCTCCTGGGATACTGGAAATTGGCTGATAGTACTTTTGGTATAGCTAATGTAAAATATAATTGCCATTTGGTTTTTTATGTTACTTACTCGGTCGTGGATGCCTTTCGCGCTCGCTGCTTTTTTCTCTTTGTTCCTTATCCTTCGTCTCTTTCTCCTTCTCCTTAATAAACGAAAGAAAATTTTTTTAAAAAGATGTTTAATGCATATTAAATCATGAGATTCGTCTTTATCTATTTAAGTAATCTCGTAAATTAAAATTATTGTAAGAGTTTTAATTATTGTAGAGTAATAACGTCAATTAAAATATTATTTTCTAAAATATTGTTTTTGCAAGTTTGTTTTCAATAAGTGAATTTAATTATGTTGTATGTATGTATAAGATAGCTTTTAGAAATTCTATTAGAATTTGATCATCTAGTGGTTAAATTTATAATTGTGTTGAAAACATTTCAGTCAGAAAATAAAGTGTTTATGACATCATATTATGACATTATATTATGACATCATATTATGACATATATAAATCTGATTTTCTCCAACAACAATTTCTTTATAAATTGTTAGTGCTATAACATTACAGTTGAAAATATGATTGAGTAACAATATCGAATTTTGTATCTTACTTGAAAAATTATGATTACAGATTTTAACTGAAGTTCAATAAATATTTAGAAAAAAATAACATTAAAAGTTAAAATATGAATTAAAAGTCATATAGATAATGTACCTTAGCGTCCTTAGTAACTGATGGTGCACGTATAGGCTGACGTTTAGGTGATCTGCGGTCAGTGACAGTCGGTCCAAGACTTTGCGAGCGTCCGGTTCTCGGACTGTTCTTCGGACTGGATTTAGTTCGTGGCTGAATTTCATCTCGATGCTCCTTGATATCGTCGCGTCGTCGTGGGATGACTGGCTCCAACTTCTCTCGTGTCGGAGAGGGAAGCAGTGCACCGTCACCTAGGAGAACAAAATTTCTCTTGAATTTTTATAAAAAACTGAATGAGAGGAAAAAAAATATATATAAATAGATAAAAATATACATAAATAAAATATTTAAAAATACATTTATAAAAATTATATAATTAATTATATATGAACTTAATTGTTCAAATAATTAACGTATTAATTATATATCCTTTAATAAAATTATGTATATATAATATATATGTTTCAGAAATATTTTCAGAAATTTTGCAGAAGAAAAAATATACTTATTTTTTGTTAAGAAATATATAAAATAATATTAATTTCGCTCATTTAAGAAACATCCTATATGAATACAGGTCATCTTTGATAATGATAAGGAGAGATTAATGTAATTAAATATAATTATTATAAATTAAATACTTATATTTATAATTATATATTAAATATAATTATTAATATTGTTTATTATATTTTTTTAAAATTAATTGATTAAATCGAATTATTAACACGTACCCACACCAGTAGTACGATCAAGATGATGGCGGATCAAGAAATCCTTTCTTGCGCGAGCAATGGCTCGATCATTATCCTATGATAAAACTAGTATTAGAAATAATCATAAAAAATGTAACTTTTTATCTCTCTTCTTTCTCTCTTTTTTCCTAGTAAAATTGGAAATTGAATTTAAATTTCTTGTTTCCTGGGCAATTCCTTTTATCAAAGCTGTTAAAAGGTCATCAGACTAAATTCCTACTTATTATCTTTTCAATATTTTAATGAAATCATTGTTTATATAATAAAAATATTGAGTACATCCCTTCAATTACCAATGGTATTATTTGATTCTATATTTAATTATAAGTGCATCATAAATATAAATTCTAATTTAAATTGACATCTATACAAACATTTAATTCTTTTTTTCAGGAAAACTGACGATTCCAGCAAGTTCTTAAAAAATAATAATTGCAAAAAAATTGTGTCAGACAAAATGATCACGCATTTTGGAATATCCTTCGTAAATTAGTAAGAGTAAGACTTAAATTTCTTAAAGAAAGTAAAGTTGCATCTTTTAATATACTTTGACAACTCTAGAAACCAATTTTATAAAAACATACTAAATAGAGACTTGCATACCGCTTTAGTGTCATCCTGCAATATACCATGTATCGGTCTAGCTTGCACCGAAGATGGTCGACCCGCTGGTGGCATTGTTGTAACCATATTGACAATCGGTGCAACCTTCCTATTCTCTTTCTCCTTTTCCTCCTTGGTAACCGATCTAAAAGAGCCGATCAAAAGGTGGTTGTGGGTAATTAAATTAAGTCAACTATTCATTACACTTGAATCGAGATAAGTTAGCTAACTACGACGAAATCAGTGTGAAGGTGCGAGCACGCTCGAACACTCTGTGAATTTTTCTCGCAAAATGTGACAGCTTTTGCTCTTTCACATGAACGACACAAATCTGTAGTGAATAACGTTTATAATTACACGATGAATACACAACAAGTATATGAACAACATTTATAGTCCGATAATATTTGACACATTTTTACCTCCAATTTTTATATCCAATATATTTGTTGCTAAGATTTTGAACTGCTTGAACGCGCACACAAATACATACACACTCATACATGTACAACAACCTATACATACAACCCCATCAAAGATTCATCTTTTTAAACATATGGATTTTTGGAATAATAATTTGCATTATGGTACAAATTGTTAAAAAAAAATGTTTGCGTAATAATTGAAATTATGTAAAGTGTTTTCGGTGATGTATAAAGTGTAATCAAACCTACATATTTTTGAAAATATTTGTAGAATAGTTTCAAATTAAAAGATTTTACTTTTTTTAATATTTTGTGTATTCGAAAAATATGTTTGTGAAAAGATGAAATAGAAGTTTGTGGTAGATTTGATTGATAGAATATATATATATATATATATATATATATATATATATATATATATATACGACACTGAATAAATGTAGTTGCTGCTGATAATTTTTCGTGATAGCAGTATTTTAGAACCAAAATACTGTTATCTAATTACGTAATTTCGTGAAAGATTTCGCAAAAAGAACAGACGTGGATCACAAGTTTAACAATTGAGAAAAACGTTTACTCGTAACAACAATGACAAATCAATGAGCTCTTTATTAGAAAATGATGGAGTATAATGTACTAGCCTGGCAAGAGATAGAGCGTTGAGTGCATGATTATTGGAGACTTGTTTCCACAATGAAGCCTCGTCTTCGGCCGTCAGACCACAACCCCAGTCACGATGCTAATGTAAACCAAAAGATATCAATATCTATGTGTTAACAATTAAGAAAATAGTAAGATTCTCTGTGTGAAACACAAATTTATATTTACGGAGCCAATAAGAACCAGACGCGGATGGTAATGTGTCAGTTTGAAAGAAAATTAAATTTTTTGTTCAAACTGAATAGTTATGCGCGAGGCATATATTTTTGTGCGCGACACTAAGTAGTTAAATATATTTCAATTCGAGATTTTTAAAGAATAAAAATAAATAAAAATAAATCCTCCTAAGTCCCCTAAGAAGTATAAGCGAGAAAAATATCGGAATGAAGTCGCTGAATCGAGAACGATGTAGGAAAAAAAAGATACGTGCTTCTTATTTTAATCTGGATCTACACTATAACACATCCAAAGTTTCACATCAAAATCGGAGGATAATATTTGTATTATTTTTTTTATAAGAGTCAATCGCACCAATGCTGATCAATATTTGTTTCGATTATATCATTGATTGAATTAGGCACATAATTGAGTAATCGAGAGAATAAATAAAATATTATGCGCTCAGTGAATTTTTCGCTTTTAAATTTTTTTACTAATCCAAAGCCAATTTTTTGTTATTAGTTAAAATATCAAAAATGAGAGTATTTATATATTGCAAAAGTTAATATTTAAATTGTAAATTTTTTCTTCACATTAAATATTTTTATAACTAATATTTTTATAAAAAAATTTTTTTTTAAATTTAATCATAGATTTGCTAACAATAAAAAATGATTGATTTAAAAGATAATGATAGTTTAAAAAATAAATTTAGGACGTTGAAAATATTTATTGACAAATCATTAATCAGTTAATTAATCAGATCATCAGTGCTAACCGACCTAGGAGAACATAGAACATGCTTGAAAAAATATTAAATGTTTTGCTTGGATAATATTGGAAAATATATTCAGAAATAGTATGAGGAAACTACGAAAATATGAAAAACGAATGAATATTATTTTTGACAGAGAAATATTTGTTAATAAAAAATCACGCGAAGTAAAATGGTCTACTATCAGATAATTGCTTTCAGTGATATATAGAATATATAATACATTGTTTTAATATAAAATTTTATCGACAAAAAACCGTTACAAAAAATTATATACTTATAATTATTAAATTTTTGTTATGGGAAACATCAGATAGTGAGAAAATAATGCGACACATACATTTTGATAATTGAAAAATTATTTACTGAATGTTGAATGATAAGTTCAATTGTACCGATTAGATTAATTAAAACAATTGAGTGGATAGGGAAAATGAGAAACTATCATTATTTATACGCAAGAAGGATGAGCGTGGAAAAAGACAACGATTGATAATTCAAAAAGGAAACCTTGGGTCTATAATAACAAAACGAATTCCACGGATTACCTTGTACTCGTCAGCGAGTCGCCGAAGTTCGATTACCTCCGCCATGGGAAATGGTTTCGGTTGCGATTTGCCCGACTTCTTATTGTCCGATACCCGCACGATTTTATTTGACTTTTTATTCCTGCAAATAATCAATTTTACGTGTAATAATCGCGTAATCATCATTGACAACAATGTCATCGTAATCAAGTCGCGTTATCACACGTTATCGCGTCTTCACACCGATCGAAATCGTCGTAGATACCTTCTTTTACTTCTCGTTTTTAATTTTGTTTTTTCGTTCTCTCCTGTCTTTTTACTTTTTTTAAATACATACTAACAAATCCGGTTGACAATCTGACCTGAAAGTTATTTTCAAATCCGTCAAATCCTCTTCGCGCTCGTCGCCTTCTGGTACCATGCCGTCGATTGTATCCGTTCCGCTGCCTACTAATGGTTCCAGTTCTGATGCCTGAATTCCTGTAAGAAATATATGAAGAAAATAATGTAAATAATGTATATAATTTTGCTCTTAGATATATAATTAAATTTTTCTTTTTAAAAGTTACTTTTCTATCTTCTGTTTTTGAAACATTTTACATTATTGTGTATAGAGTTTGGTTGAAGAAAAATTATTACAAATTTCAAATGCATTAAATTAATAATTTGAAAATAATAATATAAAGAAGAAAAAGAGAAACAAAAAGTAAAGAAATTCTTTGTGTTTCATCTAAATAATAACTATTGAATAATAATTGATTATAGCGCAGCTGAATTTATAGAAATAGTAAGAATAGATCGAATGCTTTCTATATCTATAATTTTTGGTGGTATAAAAATCATATAGAAAGGAAAAGAAAATATATTTTTTTCACAATTGCACATAAGTCCGTATTTAGTTGTTTGTCTTCTTCCTTCTTCATTATAGTAAAAGAAACATTTAAATCTAGAAATTATTTAGCTGCTTTCGAATCTTTCAAGTTAAAAATTTTGAGATCCAATACAGAAATTTTATTTTTTTCCGGAGAAAAACTGATGTAAATGAATTTTTCAACCTCTGTATTTTTTAACAATAAAAATATCGAAATCCGCTTAATTGAATCCTCTTATCTTATTGTATCCGTTATACTTATTATATCAAGCGCTCAAAACTATTGACGCAACAAATTCGTGACATTCTAAATATTTTCTAATAATATTGTTTAATACTAATGATTTAATATATTTTCGAAATGTGAATTGTCAGAATAGAAATAAAAACCAAATCTCTTTTAGAAATTGTAAGAGATTTTAATTGTAATACCCTTTTTAATATGCCGTTCATTATAAAAAAAACTTGATTTTTATTTCAATTATAACGATTTATAACAATTTATTTCAATTATAACACATTTCGAAAATATATATAATTAAAATTCGATATTTGGGATATTTTTTAAAATTTTTATTAAAAATATTGCCACTAAAATATATATATATATATATATATATATATATATATATATATATATACGCTGTCACTGTAGACAGCGAACCACGAGTGTACTTTGCGAATAAAATTTAAGTTTCTTTGTGACTGATTGCACTAATAAGACATATTCATAACTCGTGATAATTAATTTTATTTTGTTCGTTATGATAACAAATAAACCTTGTTATTATGCGTTCATAATAAGTAAATTATTCTTGTCTCACCATTGTACATTGTGCACGTATTGGCTATCTATTATAGTGACCGTTTGTAACATAGCTTCAACGGACGACCACTATAGTAGCCATTCGTACATAGAGATAAGTCTGCAAATAGTAATCGTAGCGAATAAGTTAATTTACAATTAACACAAAGTTTACTCAAGACTTACAATGTATTTCTCTGGATCTATTGATTGATATTGGAATATGTGTAGATTATCATGACAATAAACAAATACCGTCGCGTTTGTGATCGAAGTCTCCTGGTCGCTTTTTGTGTACCGGTGCCGGTCCAGTAGTCGTCATGCCTTGTTTAAGAGCTCCCATACTGAGCGATTTCCTTGGAGGACCTGTAGTGCCCGCGGAAAGACCCGCCGCTAAAACCGGTGCATGAGTTTCGCCATTCATCAGCTGTGGTTTTCTAGGCCATGCAAATTGCAACCGATATTCGGTGCTTATACGAGATATCGCTTTGCTGAGCTGACTTGGTGGCAGTGTCGATGTGACTTCCTGCTGTGTAAAAGTCAATATTTTAAGTTCAATTAATATTTTGATGCACCTTTCTTCTCTTTTCTCTCTCTTGGAAATTATAAATCAGATTTTAGAATCAAAATAAATAATGGATAATGGGCGTTTATAATAAGAATCCTAGAGATCTTTATAAAACAGAATTTTTATTGGCAAAAAGAAAGCAAAAATAGCCATAATAATCAACAATATAATGTACAATATGATAATATATTTTTCATTTATATAAATTTATATAAATTATTCATTTATATAAATCATTTATATAAATTTTAATTTTTTGTATTTGAATTTATATAAATGTTGTTCTAAATTTTGAGTTATAGAGAATCATAGAGATTATTAATCCCATACCTTATCAGCTACGACGTTCGAATCAATTGCATCGATACCACCACCGTCTGCTGCTGTGATAAATTCATGCGTCTTGTAAGCAAGCTCTGGACATTTCTTTCTTCTAGGTAATGGCGGTTCCAGAGTGGGCCCTGCAAAGTTCATAAGTTCTTAGTTCTCATATTATTTTTTTTTAAATTGAATTCGCCTTGTTTGATCTTTCAATCGCATATATCCAATTGTGTAAATATTTTGTATAATCAAATATCTTACAATATACATTTTTGATTGAAATTTTGATTAAATATTGCTCAAATACGACTTTCATAAACTTTTGTCTTTAATATTTATTTAATCAATTTCTTCCTTAAAAAATGAAATCATCTAAAATATTACTTATTATTTTTATTTAATTAATTTGATAATATGCCGGAAATATGCTCGTAAATTTAATTATATTTCTCAATGATTATTGTTTGTTGTTATTTTAAATCTATTTCCGTATCGCTTCTCCAGACAAATACAAATATATTTATAGAAGTTTGCAAATTTGCCTCGATGATGAAAAATAATTTTTAATGTGTGAAAAATTCTGATCAACTTTTCAAGGGTACGTAAAGCAAGATAAACATAGAAGCCACTACATTTGCTGTGATAAAAAGACGTGGTGAGAAACTGCAAAAGATTGTAGAATTCCTGCGGCGTTTTAATGTCGGATAAGATGAGACATTTATGGGAAATCGGGGTAGCTTTAAACGGCATGCAGGTAAATCTTCGGAAAAGCAAGTAAAAGACATGACACTGAGCGATAATAATAAAAAGTAAAGAGAGCAAAAAATGCCAAATGCATGTTCTTGTCACGGAAAAAATTTCATCAATTTTAATTTTACAATTCCATGATGATTCATTATTCAAACATTTATGCGCCCATTGGTTTTTCGACTCGTCGTTTTCCTTCTTGACTAAGTAATAGGTTTTTTTATGAGAATGACATTATATTTACCGAAAATGTATAATTTAATTTAATAAACAAGTAATTTATTTTATTTCCCTCTTCCTCTATTAATCATTTAATAATCGGTACTACATAATCATGAATGAGACACAATCAAGTTTCTATAAGTTTACAATTTTCCAATGAATATTATTGAATATTATTGACATTTATTGACATTTACTTTTATAAGACAACCTTTTTTATAATACAATCAACGAAATTTGCTTATATATATATATAAATATATATATCATACATTTCAGGAGGTTAAAATTCCGAAAATTTGTAACCAAATCCTTTCTCTTAAACATCACTTGTTTGCTTAATTTGGAGATGAGACAGCAGCATCTTATAATAATCCATTTTACAACTATTTAATTATTATTTAATAATTACAATCTACTATATGTATATATATATATATATATATATATATATATACATATAGTAGATTGTAAATATATACATATCTGCTAAATATCTGCTACTTTTTGGTAATCGTATTTGTAAAAGATAATGAAAGATATTGAAATAATAACGAAACACTAATATTATGCCAATAAATAATTTTTGACTTATTAGACAGAAATTACATATTCGCAACTTCGCTTATGTGAAATGAGAAAAACTCATGCGACGCATGATTGTGAGACTTATTTTCATTTGATTGATATCATTATTTTCATTTGATTGATATCATTATCAGATACCGAATTTGATCATGTTATACATGAAGTTACTTAAATAAAAAAGAATAATATAAAGATTTTAATTAATTAAAATTCAATCATGATATATTACATATTATATTATCATTCTTCAGCAGAACATACATTATTATTTCATCATTAAAACGTTTATATATCATTGCATTTAAATAATTCATATAAAGCAGCCTGTAATATGCATTAGTGTGATAGTACGGATGATAAAATTCATTATCAGTTTCATTCAGAATAATTGGTAATCGAGAATATTACTGTGCTTTTTATAGCAACTAACCGTGAATAAAAAGTATATACGTTTAAGATATACTCCCTCTTTTTTTCCTCTTCATCTTTCTCCTTTTCTTTGTCTTTTTCCTTGATTCAAATTCAAATAAATTATTGTAACTTTATAATATACATTGCATTGTACCGAACATGATTAGTTCAATAACTTTTAAATAATTATGAAACGTGGCACAAGTAATTATGATGCAAGAGAAGGTCTTTTGTAAACAGAATTTAAAGGTTTTTTATATCTAATAAGGCAAATCTTTATTCGGTTACGTTTATCGTAAGAATGCTATTAAAATTGATATAAGTAATTCGATATAAATAATCATCAGCTTTAATATAACTTTGATCTTGACATATCATGTCAAAAAAATGTTGGTACTTTCAATGTTATAATTATATAATTTTTTACATAAATTTGCAATACTTCATCCGAAACGAGAATTAAACATAAAAAATGAACTTTTAATTTATGCAAAAGACGAAATATTTTATTGTTTTATTTTACTGCAAACATGAAACTCCATTCTTTCCGTTGCACCTTCGAAAAAATTCTAATTTAACTCGAATCTAATTTTTATTTAAAAATTAGCTTGGATTAAATCGGAATTTTTTTGAGGTGAAAACGCAAGTGAAAAGACGAAGTCTCATCTTCATCCATATGTACCTTGCAATAAAATAGAACAATAAAATACAAGTTTCCCTTTGCATTCAAAAATTCATGTACTCGTATATCATATCGTCACATATAACGTGTAGAAAGCTGCTTACGAACTGACAGAAATAGATCAAATCTATTGGTAATGGTGTAACGGTTATACTAAAGATAGAAGAGGTATACAAATAAAAAACGTCCAACAAAGAGGCATCAGAAATAAAAATGCAATACTTTAAAATTAATAGTTTAGCAATACTTTAAAGTGTACTTCATAAATTAGAAGAGTCCACAACATCGTTCAAAGTGCACCTGATTCAGGGTTTTATTCATATAAAAAAAGTATAAAAATGATCGATGAAGTGTAATCTTTTTGAAAGATTTATCGTAAATTTTAATTTTATTGAAAAATTTCATAACAGTGATAATCACACAATCATTATTACGCAACGATATTAGAAATTGTAATTTTCCTCGGCACAATCTGTTTCCATTATTCATACCATTCCAATATTGGAAGTGATTTCAGTAAATTCCGAAAATATGATTGATATTGATTCAATATTATTCCCTTCAATTCATATATTATTTCATTATAATGATTAAACACTACTACAATCGGCCTGAAATCCAAGAAAAGTGTATACATATCTATGCAAGCATTCGCGATAAATTTTATGCAGGCAAATGAAAGAAAATTCTATATATACAAGATATCCCGAGACATGAGAATAATAAAATTGCAGTATGACAATTCATGAAAAATTAAAATAAAAATGTATGCTATTTTTTATTTCAAGAAATAGTTTTTAATTTATATAGGTTTACGGAAGAGAGAATAGACGACTGTGTCTAAATCTGTGTCTAATTTTAAAATTTTGTAATTCGAAAACTATTTGAACTTTCCAAAACTGTTTGAAACTATTGTTTGAAATAAAAAATTGTAAATAAATTTTTTACTTAACTCTTTTACAATTTATAATGCTGCAATTTTATCCTCAAATTTCTAGACATTCCATTTTGTGTGTGTGTGTGTGTGTGCGCGCGTGTGCGCGCGCATAAAATGTATGTGTATATACATATGTTGATTTTTTTTATTTTTGAAATAAAGTAGTATTTAAATTATATTATATATAAGAAAATATGTATTTTTTAAATATTATATATATATTTTAGATTTAATATAATATAATCTTTGAATCGTGCAATGAAATAGAGTTATTATTTAATATAACATTTAATTTTTTCAATTTTAATTTCTTTTAATGTAATATTTGATTTTAAATGTTCCTAAATAATTAATTATTAATTTTTGTTCTGTCTTCTAATTTTTTTATTATAGACGATTTACTATAAACAATTATTTTTGTTTTAATATTTTAGTTTAAGTTTCGTATCTTAAAATCATATAAATAAAATTTTTTACGCATTTTTTTATTTTTCTTTTATTTATGCATTCAAATTATTGTATCAAAATAATAAAATATAAAAAATAAAATATAAAAATAATAAAATATAAAATGTTTATTACAATAAATTATTGTAATTAAAGAAATCTACTTTTAATCTAATCTTTATCATCTATTCATTATTAAATCACTACTAAATCTTTTTACCCAGTACTGATGAACCAAACTTTTTACCAAACTGATGAAACTGAGCTCTAGAAAAAAATATTCTCAAAAAGATTTATCAGAGAGAATGATTTTTTTATGCACGATGCATATTCATACATACGTATAGTATATATACATATTTACGAATATATATGTGTATTACAAATATTTATGTGTATTATGATTACTAAATATGTGTATAGTGTTACTAAATATGTTTTAGTTCTATTGTTAGCTATTTAAATCATATTTTTTGCGATTAATAGATTTACAAAAAGTATCTTAATTAATATAGAAATGTAACTAAGAATGTTGCTTCCACCTTAATAGTATAATTTATATACAAAAAAATATTATTCATGGGATGAAATCTGAAAGAGATACAATCAAAGATACAATACATTTTCATTATCTTAGATTTTAATAGCAAGGCTAATTTAAAGATAAATTTATTAACATTAGATTGTGCATGGAAATACAAAAATATTCAACTTAATAAATAAGAATACTGTTGAAATAATTATATATATAATGTATTTGCATTAATTTATAGAAATTTATAGAATAGAAATATTATATTTTTCTATCTTTTGAAAATAACTCACAATTATAAGGTCACTTTACTAAAAATTATTAAATATTCTGAGTTCCATTAAATGAGATAAAAAGACTGATCGATTTATAATGACATTTTAAGAATCGATAGATGCAATATCGTCATCCATGATTATTTTCAAATCTAAGAATGTGGTTGTCGTTAGGCGTAGGCGAAAATAAATGTTAGAGAAGCATTGCCTTAAGTAAATATTTAAAAAAGTGAGTATTTAAAAGAAGAAAAATAAAATTAAAAGAGAGAGAGAGAGCAATTTCCTATTTATTAATGAGGAACTACTTCCTGATAATTGTATTAAGTCGTTCAAGGAAAGTTATATCGGCAAATAAGTCTAGTAAATTATATAACTTTTTACATAATTAAGTTTTTACGTAATAAAATCATTAGAACTTTCTATGGAATTGGGAAAGCTTAGTATTTTTCGATTTCGTATCTTATATATAAATTTTTTACAAAAATCTGTAGATATCTAAATTATTTAAAAAAAACTGAGCGCTGAAATCAGGAAAACTTTCACATATAAGTTAATATTGAAAATTAACTCTTTCACTGTGTTCATTTTCAGTAATGTAAAAGTGCTATAAATAATTGTATTGATAATTATTGTATCTAATATTTACTTGAAAAAATAGAAATATTGTGTGTATATGTATATGTATGTAAATATCTATATGCAGAATTTACACACAATAATTATGTAGTTGGTGAAACTATTTAGCTGTTACTTGCGACAGAATTAAAATCGCATTCGTTGTAAAAACAATATGTCACTTTACATATTTTCACATTGATACGAAGACATTTTTTAAATTTTCTTCTTCTTTTATACTTCATATTTTTGTAAATTTCATAAAATTGCGAAATCTTTCATATCAAAATAAAATGGTAAAATAATTTTTTGTTGTGAAATGTATAAAAATAAAAAAAAGATACAAGAATATATAAATAATCAATTCAAATAATTTTTTTGTCTTTCAATCAATTTTCATTAAATATTTTTATACTCTATTTAATAAAAGAAATTATTATTTAGCTTGTAAGTCTTAACTTATGGTATCATTCTATATACAAAATAATTCGATTAATTATAAATCAACATTTTTTAATTAGATTGAGAGACTATTTATTGGCACTTTTATGACTGCAAGAGACATATAAATTGTTTGTAGCACGCAAAGTTGTGTGAAGTAGCTTCTTAAATTTAAAATTACCTCTGTTTCTTTTTAAATGAGATAGTATGTGTGTGTATTATATATATAAATTCTCTTTTTTACATAAATTCTCTTAATTTTGTTAGATAATGAGTTTAGAAGGTATTTCAGATATAATTTATATATATATATATATATATATATATATATATATATATTAAGACATAAAATATTTTGTAAAATACTCTTCCCTTATGAGAATTATAATGGATAACTTAATATAAGATTTATATTAAAAATATATAATACGCACATACACACACATACAAAATAATGTTGTATCTGCAACATGCATATTTTTTAAGTACAATCTTTTTAATATACTCATCAATCCATTTTAAAAATATAACTCACAAAAAAAAATAAAATGTAAACTCACAAAAAAGGTAAAATATTTCATAAAATATTATACATATATATTTGTTCGAAACGTTAAAATAAAAATATGTTATACATTTCATAATAATTATATATATTGATTTATATTTATACGCAACAAAACATAATTTTATTAAAAAAAACATATCCAATCTTAAAATCTAAGAAGCTATTCCAATTTTAATAAATTAGAGTTAGACTTCGAAAAAAGCATTATTAGTCGCTCAGTGAAAAAGTTGACATTCAATTATAAGCTTTGGTTATTAGCCAGCAAATCAACAGCAGAGGTATAGAGGTAAAGTAGCAATCGAAAAGAAGGATAAGAGAGGGGAAAGAAGGCGATTTTATTTCGGAATATTAAATGAGCGAGAAAAATCGAAATTAAACTTGAGCATTTGCGTAGTTCCGAATCTTACCTTCGCTGTTCTCATCCTCGGTTGACTTGGCCGATTGCAGCTTCGCGCTTGGTTGCTTCGCTGCAATCAAAATTCGCAGCTGGCACCGCATTTTTTCATTCGTTATACCCTTCTTATTTGTCTCTTGCCCTCTCTTTAATGTTCATTTTCTCGTTTGACCGATTGACTTTTCGTCATAATCGATCGTGCAATCTTAATCTCAAGGTCAATTAAGGTAAAATTTCCGAACTACATATATATATATAGCGGACTATAGAAATTTTTATTTCTTATCAAATATTAAATTTTACTTTCAAATATACGAATTATCGACAAAGAAATAAAATAATAATGAGGTCGATGATTTATACTTTCACATTGCTTAATGAATTAAAAAAAAGATTAGATCGACGTTTTCTCTGAAATTTTCCAATAATCTACATTTCTTTTAAATCTCCAATGGTATCGTAAAAATACGTAATATATCACAATATACATACATATATATGTATATAACATATCACAATAAGAGAAAGAGACACATAATATACCTAGGAATAAGATTTTTTATCTGTCTTATAAAAATTACATTGTTTTACAATTCATTTATATATATATATATTGTATTGTCGTTTTTTGTCTGCTATAATTGATCACAATTCTCTTTTTTTAATTTTATACTTGAAAGTTTACTTGAAATAATATAACACTACTACGATATTAATAATGAGCTGAATATTTATCAACTCGCATAAAAAATAGAAATAATAGGAAAACATCCGTAAATAAAGATTATGTAGATAAGGGTAGAGTTTGATCGTTCATGATCTATATATTGGGTTTATTTCAATTTTTCAAGAAAACGAGTACCGTCGACGAAATGGAAAAATCAACGGCGCGGAATTTATTGCAGTCAAATTGCCCTGTGTAAAATGTAAAACGAGGTCGCAGAAGATCGTGTAAGATGATAGATGGTTAAATTCGAGCGACGACTAGCTAAGAAATCAACGATCAGCAGAATAAGATTTGATATAGGCATGTTAATAAATATTCGCAGTTATTGGCCCTTTGTGTTAACTCTTTGTAATATAAATGTTTTTTAACATATTTTACTGAAATTTAATATATAGGTTTATGAGATATTCTATTAAAATTTAATATATAGATTTATGATATCGCTGATTATAAATGATCTAATTTTTTTACTGATATTTATATACATGAATAATACATTTATTCATACATATAAATATCAATAATATATTATATTTACATTATTCATGGATATAAATATGTTTCAAGAACAAAGATATCAAATATATTACATAAAATCATTATGAAATGCACAGAGAAACTGCAGAAAGATAGATGTCTCAAAATGAGATACTATACCAAAAGATTAATATAAATATAATATATATTTTTTAAGAATAGTATTATTTGCTTTGTTTGCCTTTTATATGATATTCTTCATAAATTAAATACATTAAAATAATATAAATATAATAATAACAATAAAAATTATAATAGAGGTAGGTATTAATGTTTATATATATAATTTTGCATATAATATAAATTAAAGTAGAAATTTCTAGTTAAATTATCTACTTTTTTATGATAGACGAGATAAATCTTGAAATGGTCTTTTTATATTCATTATTATTTCTGATATTGCTGCGATTGAGAAAGATGCTTTATTATAATCATAAATGAAATTTCTTAAATTAATGTGAATAATTTAAGCAAATCTATGTTGAAAAAAAAATTTACATTTAAATTTTCTTTAACAAATTTTTTATTGCAGCATTTTATTTAATGTTAAATATTCACTCTACAATTAAATACTTTGTATATAAATATTTTATAATTAACTTATCAAAATATAAACATATCTATAATACATTTTTTATCCATATTAATTAGATTTAAGAAATATACTAAAAAATTGCATACATAATTTTACGATATTAATAACGCAATGATGTATATATACATATTCTCAGAACAAGGCCAAGAACTGCTTTTTGCTTAATTATAATATTTTATTCAATCGAATAGAAATGATGAAAGATCCATCAATCTGATTGACATCTGTTCTCAAACCCGAAATAGTGCATAATTGACAGGTAAAAATGCATATCTACTTTGATTTAAGCGTTCACACAGAAACATCAGTATAAAACAAAATGAAAATTTCACAACATCGAGAGAACAAATATTGGTTTTATATATATATAAGGTATGTATATATATGTGTGTATCTCTGTGTATATATATATATATATATATATATATATATATATACACACATATGATATATATATAACATATATAAAACAAAATTCATGAAATATGTGTATCATAATAAAATCGCGAAAATATAATGTGAACGATATGTGATGAAGAGCGAGTGTATTAACTATATGAATAGTAACACGAATAAATGAGATCACTAAACATCTTTACGAAACTAATATAAAGAGGAATAAATAAATAGACTTCAGCAAATAGATTCTCTTAGGAGCGTGGATTGGCATAATTATTTTTTTCAAAATATCCATTAAAGCAATATCATTAAAATAAAAAAAAATTAAATATCTTTATTTTTCTCTAAAATAGAATCGCAAGAATTAAAATGCAAAATAAAACCGATTCACGCTCGAAAGATGCAAAGAATTTATTGAAACATTAAAGCTTAAACAGTACAAGTAGGTACTCTCATTTTCTTTTTTAATTTTAATATATCATATAAAATATTTATTGTATTGCCAATTTAAAAGTAAAAATGTATATTAAAAGTAGAAATATATTATTGATTCTTCAAACACAGTTGCAAAATTTTAAAATTTTATATTAAAATATTACTTTTTGTTATATCATATGTGAAGTATTACGTCGTAGGTAAATTTTTTAGATTTTCTGTTGGTGAGTGAATGTTGTAAATCTTCTACTGTTTAAGATAAATGTTCGTTAAAAATAAATACGACGAAAAATATACTATGTATATGTGTCTTGCCATAATTACGAATGTTATACTTACTCGATAACGGTGGTGGTTGCGGCGCACGTCGCACAACCGCGAGCTCCGCGTGCGGTCCTGTATATTCGTGCCATGTGTACGTGCTCCTGTATTCCGAATGAAGCTGCTGTAACAGGTAATTAAACCATTGTTTGCAGATTACACTATTGCACATGATTGCACGAAAAAAAGATTGCACAGATAGATGCAATATTGAGAAATTTATTATATATATTTTAATTTCATAATTATATACATATGTAATTGTTAAATCCTTCCCAGTTATCTCATTTTATATTTATAATATCAATTTTTGTATAAGTAAAAATATAGTTAATACCATACATCTATAAAATATTTATAACAATAGACAGATAATTATATACAATCGTATAATAGTAAAAAAATCTACTAAAAATTTTCAACTAAAAAATATTTTTCCATTTTATTAAAAAATAATTTAATAATACAAATTTTGTAAGTAATTCATATATAATTTTTTAATTTAATTTAATTTTTTAATTTAATAATGTGAGATAATATGAGATTCTCTTAATATAATGTCGTCATAGATTTACAAATTATGATCAATGAATGCGTTTGCAAAAATAAATTCTATCTTTATCAAATATTTAATTGTTATCATTTCTTGTATTTCAATATTTTATCATCATGCACTATTTATTATTAATTAAAATATATTATAAAGTTTCGATAAATGAATGATCGATGATCGGGGCTTCCATAATCTATTTCAAAAGGCAAATCTGTAATATCTTTTACATGGAGGATAATTAATTTTATATGAAAGACAAGTAAAGAGCAAAACAAAGTATATTTCGCTAAAATATATTTTATAAGAATTAAATATTTTATAGGAATTAAATACTGATCATATATAGATATATTTATGATTATACTTTTCTTAGATTTCCTGTTTTTATTGTTAAACTTCTTTATTTGCTGCAATTTCATCAATGTATTGAAATGTACGCTAATTTGTCTTAAATATGCAATGTTAATAACCATAAAGATGGTAAGAAGATAAATTATAAATTATATGTATATTTATTCACTAAATAATTATGATATTTAAAGCTTGATCTTTATCTATTTTTGACATTACTATGTACAAACTGAAAACATTTTCAAGTAATTGCCTGAAAAAATTACGTAATTACCTGAACAGTCAGCTACTTAATTTTTATATGACAATTAACGAGCATATAAAGTTAAATTGGGAATAGTAAAAATTAATTTGATTTATTTTATACTTTCTCGCTTATTGTGTGATCACCTTTATTTACTTTTATTATTTATTTTTATTAATTTAATTTCTTTATAATTGCGATAACTTTTATATAAATAAAGTTTGTTTATTTTTTGCGGAAGTAACTATCACATAATAGTTTTGTCACGTTTTATATGCAAGAAAGTTTTATACGACAATTAACACGTATCATATTTAACACTCAAACAAGTTTCAACCGCTATCAGCATTTACCTTCAGTATCACTTCCCAAGTGTCAATCTGTATATGTCTATAAATTGGTCTATGAAGTTTAATGTGACAAATTTTAACTTTCTATTCCAGGTATATAAATTTTCAAAGTAAGCGTTTTGCGAATATATTGACACAATTGCGCAAATACTAATAAAGTGCACATCAGATGATTCCGCTACTGTAAACAAATCTTCATATCTAACTGTATTTTAATAATCACATGATAGTCATTATTCACAATTTAACAAACAACATCTAATTATGTCTTCAAATATGTGAGACAATATATTATACAACATATTATAAATATTGCATAGTAATATTGTATAATAATATTATTACTTTAAAATTAAAATAAAATATAATGTGTGCTAAGAAATAAATAATGGGGAAATTTAATTCGATGCTAAAAGTAGAAAAATATTTTTTCGATCACAATTTCTATATTATTCATAAAATTTTGCAAACATTAAATGAGATTAACTAATATATTTAAACGCATTTTGCACATTTTTTTTTACAAAAAAATATATTTTATATATGATATACAATTTTTTAATTTTTTATATTGATAGACAATTTTTTAATTATATTGACAAACCTTTTTGTGTAAGTTAGCCACGTAATTATGTAGTAGAGTAAGTAGTAAAAGTCAACGTACTATAACGACTTCGCCTAAGTGTTGCGAATATCGACAAAGATACGAGTGGCGCAGTGCTGGTTCTTCTACCCATTCCCTTCTACCCAGAAAAATCGACTTTTCGGGCCGTATTTTCGTCATAGCAACGACAATTACATTTCTCACGCAAAAAAAAATGTCCAACGCAAAAGTAAAGATATTATTGACGCTTTCTTCATGCGACGAAAAACGTGCGCATGTGATCCAGCATATCGATCGATACGGGTGTGCAATGGCGCAATGCCGGTTCTCTCTCCTACGACTACTTTCCGTGACAACGATTTGCACATGGAGGTCAATACAGCTGAGTGACCGTGCAGTTTTACGCTACACTGTGTTACATTGGGATTACTATCAAAATTGACTATTCTTGCCTTGACTATTCTTCACTCTGCCGCGTTTATTGCTGTGTCCCATTTCTCAGAAATTACACTATGAATTGAGATAACTCTGCACGAAAACTTCGATAAATGTTAAAATCAACGGGTTATTTTAAAAAAATAATTCGCAAATTGCTGCCGATCAATAAATGTCTCCTTGCTGACGGCATTAATGTGGCGGCATCGCGAAATAAATAATGCATTTCATAGCTATGACGATTAATCTGTTGCTCGATATTCAATGGTATAAAAAATGAAGCATTTAATTTTATTTTATAGATGAGAAGCGATATAAAAATGTAAGAAAATTTCGATATATGAGAAATTCATGACTCTTTGCGATGAAATAGATTTAGAAAGTTTAGAAATAGATGAAAAAATTCTTATTAATGATCTTATTATAGCAAAAGTAAAAAAAATTTCTCAACCTTTCTCTTTCTCTCTCTCTCACTTTGTTTCTATTAAATTTTATCTAATAGTAGATTTTACAATTTAATATATTCAATTAAATATTACTTAACTCTACAATATAGTTAATATAATGTACTTAACTGTACATTATAGTTAAGTACATTTAAGTAATATTTAATTTATATTATATGAATATTTTTTAATTATTTAAAATCTAATTTAAGCTTTTTATATCAAAGTAATATTGGCATCTCGATGAATGTAATATCGATAACTAAAGCCCGGAACACTAACGCATTTTATGTGGCGACCAATATAGGATATTCTTCTGAGCAATTGATTCGAATCCAAGCGTATAAAAAATTCCACGATTCAGTGGATCAAATCAGAATTTTTTTTTAAATCAATTGCTGTGTCCAATGACTTTCAATGATCTTGAGTTATAAGTCGTTAAATGCAATGTAAAAAGAACCAAATAAAGATGTTTAAAAAATTATACTTCTATTTTAAAAAATAGAGATAGTATATGATTTTGGCATTTTCATTAAAGATAAAATGTTTTAATAAAAATATGTCTTCTTCGAAATTATAACCATATAATTTTATAAATTAATCATAATAAACCCATGAATTAACCATGAATTATTGCGAAAATCGCAAAACAATAGAAGATTTTCTTATTCGGTTTAATGCGCTCTACCTGCATACGAGAGATGATGCGATTATTACTAAACATCCTATATAGAATTGTTTAAATCTACTCAAACCATTTGAATTCCAATAATTAATTCCAATTCGGAAATTACATTCAACCATTTATAAATAAATACCAAACGTGAGAGAGATCGTGACGATCTATTAAATTTATGTGTAAATGTAATATATAAACATAAATATATATATAAATTTTATAAAAATTAAAAAGTCACTAATATATCCAACATAAAAATATAATTGATATAGCCAATATTTTGTATAAAAATATTTTTATAAATACGCGAGAAAAATACAAAGTGATATATAAATTTTTCGAAAACATGATTAAGTACAAAAAATCATAAGATTATAAATTATATGTTCTAAAGAGTATTCAGCCATACAATTTTTGTCTATAATCTTTTTTATGTATCTAATATTTTCGATAATATTTGTTAGAAATTACATATATCTTCGAAAAATTATTTCAACCTTGTGCATGTGAGAAAGCACTTGTAAAAAAATATGTATCTTTTATTTTCAGTTGTTTTACGACCTATTCGAAGCTCATCGAAATCGGAAAGGAATATTTCCACATACACTTCCAATCAATATCTATTGAGTTGAGCGCTATATCATGTGCAAATGTATCTTCTTGAACCCCTTACGATTTTATAAGATTAGTGAATAAACAAATATAAAAAATATAAAATAAGATTTAAAAAATTTATTTAATTATCCCGATTGATCGTGAGATGAGAGTTGTAAAATTTTAAACTTCTTATTGAAGACTATCAAATATCTTTGTTAATATTAAGATATACAGCGTGTTTCTTAATAAATGCCAAAAATTTTAGAAAATAATACTTTGTTGAAAATTAAGGGGGAGTTTCTCATATAAGCATATACTCCTACATCCCTCCTTGGAGTTACATTCCTCCAAAAATGAGAGTAAAAATTAGATTTTTATTTTTTTTCTCAAATATGGAACAAGTTAAAGAAATGAAATTAGGTAGATATTTTCTATTTAGTAAATTTTCTATTTAGTAAAAAGGTTATTTATTAATATTTTTTTTCAACCTTTCATATTGTTATAAGGAGATGAAACTAGCAATTCAATTTTTTATTAAAACTTTTTAATGTTTATATGAAAAACTTCCCTTAATTTTCGACAAAGAATCATCTTCTAAAATTTTTCGCACTTATTAAGAAACACTATGTATAAAGATTCTACTTTGATACAAAAAAATCATCATTAAATTGAAAATAATTGAAAAATAATTGATTCTGGCCCTTCCCTATCTCTTTTAAAAAAAGAATTTCGAAAAGTTAGATATATACGTTCTAATTCAAGAAAAATAGCAATCTCGAAATGTCCTGCACATGGATTAAATTATTGCAATTCTCCGGTTCTCTCACCTTGTCAATCGGCATTGAAGGGCACGCACGGCAGAGGTTCCAGAATGAACCAATCATGAGGCCGCGGTGTGTGGGGCAGTGGGACAATGACACACAGCTGCTGCGTTAGCGAGCGACGCACAAGGCCGGCTGTTTCTCGGCGACGGACACGCGGTCTCGTTAACAAGCCAGAATTAGGGGCGTTCTATCGAGAAGGACAATGCGATTCTTCGATGTCGATTATGACACGATATACACTACTATACGGCTCCTCTTCTCCTCATCCACCTCTCACCACTTCACCACCTCAGCACCACCTTCCTCTTCTCTCAGCCTTCAAGGCAGTGTTCGTAAGCGGTGCTCGGGCTCAGGCTCGGGCTCCGAATTGCTCCCTCTGCATGTATAAGTACATCATGTACGTATGTGTCAAGTGTCTATGTATATTGTGTGTGTGTGAATTTATGCACACGTGTGTGTATGTATATGTATGCAGATATATATGTTACAGGCAAAGATTAGAATCTCGTGGTTTTGTTACTATGATGATACTTGACGATTCCACTGATATTATTAAGATTGCTTTGATATTGCCACTCATTGCATTGGTCATAGAATTTTGCATCTAACTCCATCTAATTTTACTTCATTAAATATACAACGATATATAAATTCAAATGTGCAATCTCTGCCTTGGATAATGCTAGAACCGACTGCTAACTTTCATGGCTCCAAATTCGGGAAATTACCTTTAAAAATAAAACTTAATTATATTATTTTAAAAATGTCTTGATGTCAGTCTCATTTGTAGAGAATACACAACAAAATATATGAGTTTTATCAAGATGTTGAGACTCCCACGTATGCACATATACATATACATATGCACATAGACATATACACGGATACATATACAGACGATTTTAAATTAATCTTTTAAAATGTAACTATAATAAATGTAATAAATTAAAAAAAACTAAATTTTAAAAATTCAATTAAATTACACGAAAAAGATGTTAAAATAACATTACAAGTTTGGTAGATAGAGTCGTTTTAGAAATTTCATTTCATCTATCGCTACTTTTTTTAAAATAGAATTACAAAGTTTCTTTGTGTGCAATGTAGAATTTAATTGAAGAAACTTAATGATCTATTAATGAATAAACTTAATGATGAACTTAATGATAATATTAAAATTCCATGACTTTATTATTATGAAACTGGTTTAAAAAATTCAATCATCATACTATACGTATAGTTTTATTTTTAAGCTCATCTTATGCTTTATATTATTAAATGATGAATATAAATAACTTGGAAATTATAAGAAAATTTACTCTTCAGCTAAAAAAAATAAATAAGCATTTTGATTTTATTTCATTTTATTTCAGAAACAAATGGCTGATTACTTTCAAAAATAAATTATAAATATGATTATAGTATTCGAACAATATAATAATATAGTTATGTTGCAACGATAAAATTACATCAACAGAAGTATTCAGACGGAAAAGATATCGTACAATACTATAAAATCTTTAATAGAATCCGTCGATATTTTTTAAAACTTTTTTACTATTAAAAAATTTATTACAAATCGAAATAAAAAGATATTTTGCGATCATCATGTGTTTAATAATTACATATTTCGAGGACTTTATAAAGTATTATCAGAACCATTTCAATTTTTAATATAAAAAATCGTATATTAAAAGCAGTGGAAGAAAACTCAGGAACTAATATTAGAAAAATATTTTCAGGAATCAGTGCTCTTCTTATCTGAAAAATGTTTCTCTAAACTTTTCGAAGATTGAATTATCCATACTATATTCAACGAATAAAAGTATTCGCTCCGCCAGATTATTCAATAAAGATAATGTTTTCTCAAAATATGTATTGAAAATATACTTTATATTTCATAGTTCACATTTTCACTGATAAAACTATATTATAATATATGATATTACAAAATAGTCATCGCATATAAACAGTATAAAATTGGTTTACAATTACTAAAGCATCAACGTCGTTTTTTTAATGTGTAGATAGATATCTTGATGAATGATTGAATGAATAGAATGGATAGAATTTCATGAAAAATCTATCATTTAAACGAACAGATCTATTAAGTAAACTTTGTGAAAATTTATTGGTAAATACGTTATCCCAATTTTTCGATATATATATCTTAAAAGAGAACGATTATAAGAATGATTCACGATGGAACACCAACTAATTTTATATCCACTGTTAAATAATATTTAAATAATCATACATACAAGTTTTTATCTCGTTTTATATGATTCCACTAATTTTTATGAATACATCTTAAGAAATTTAATATATTCTTCACTGATAAGCAATGTATAGAATTTATAGCAATCCTAAATGCCTATAAATGTAACTTAAAAATTAGAAATTTGAAAAAAGTTTACAATATTTTGTGATATGAAAATGTGAAGCATGTACCCCAATACAAAGAAGACATTCCAAACATCTTTTATAAATATCAAAATATAAAAATATATAAAATAATTCTTTGTTTTTACGTCATATAAGTGATTTATGGAAATTGCATAGAAACAAACAGATTATTTGTTTTCTCGAAACTGAAAATCATTTTTAATTCTGACAAGAGTAATTTTTTATTTATTGAATATTTTTTGTTCAATATATATGTATGTAATATATATGTATGTATATATATGTATGTACACAACGTGCATTTATATAGCATTTGTATTATATATTATATATATAGTACATCTAAAAGAATATTTTTGATTGAAAAGAGAAAGAGATGACTTCTTGTGCGAAAATAAATTAAAATTGTAAAATAGAATTATTTCATGGAATTTTGTTCTCAAATAAATTGCTTTTAAAAATTATAAAATTAATAATATATTTATGCTCTCTTAAATTTTTAAATGATGAATTTATATTGTATGTCGCCAAATTTATCTTGATAGTGATAATTAAGATATAAATATAACAGAATAATAAAAAATAATAATTTCTTACAAAATTATGTATAAAATATTAACTTTCTTTAGATACATATATTATTTTATATCTTTTATATCTTTTAAATGAAATATTATGCTGTTATATTTATATATTAATAACTGCTCAAGATAAATATGGTGACATGTAATATAAAGTCGTTAAATATTATTCTTTTCTCTTTAACTTCAAAAATTTATTTTATCAATTAAAGGAATGTTATTTTGTTATACATATTTTATGTATAATAGCGATTGTATCAAAATAAATTAGAAAACATTATATGAAGTCTTTAGAAATTGTGTAAACGTAAAAAAACGTACAAATATTAAATCTTCACTTTCCAATTTTCTTGCATCTTCTATAAAAAATTTTATTTTACATGTGATTTATTTTTATGCGAAAAATTATCTCTTTTCTGATTGTATATTAATTTGTATATACACATAATTACATGTATATATAACACACATACATGGAATATGGTGGTCTATGGACATTTAAATAATATCCTTATTTGAAAACATGTTAGAATCATAATTTTAAGATACAATTTTAACACATATATGTGATATAGGAAGAAGAATATCTCTTTATAAAATAAATAAATAAAGTCTAATAAAACACAAAATTATGAAAGAAGAAAAACTATCTTTCTATAAAAAATCTATATTAACTTTAAAGCTTTGCAAATAATGATATTAAGCGATTTTTTTCATAAAATTAAAAATTCTGTATGCGTGTATGTTTATGTGTGTGTGTATTCTTATATTTTGTGTGTATCGTTAATATTTTTTTAAATATATGTATATGTATATATAAAGCATTGGATAATAATTGCATCACCTCTTATGTAGATACAACGGGTTAAAATTCTAGAAAAATCTGCTAGCGTAATTTGTAATAATTATTGAAAAAGTAATTAAAAAATTTTCACTAATTATTACAAAAATCTCAAAATGTTAGAGGATTTTTCTACTTAGTTTAACCCATTTTACTTGCACAGGAAAAGTAATGCAATTGTTATCGGATACTCTGCATAAATACTTATATATATTTATATACCTGCATACATATACATTTATACATACATGCACATATATATAAAATATTTAAAAAAATTCCGATGTTTTATTTGTTTAAGTGTTCTATTGGACCATCCTGTATATAAAGCGAGAAGGGAGAAACACCGCCTGTGTGAGAAAGTATGTATCATTGTATGCGTGCGTATGCGCGAGTGTGGATGTACGTAATAAGACGCAATGCCGATATTCGCGTATACGTCATTCAACTCGATTTTTATCAAATAGAAAAAAATCGCAAAATGAATGATTTAGAATTATAATTGAGCTACATTCGGCCTATCCAAATTGATTAGTCGAAAGCGGTAATAATAAAAAAATGAAACGATGAAGATGATGAAACGATGAAGCAAAGAACTTGCGAGATGCACGTGTAAGATGAACCATAAATAGATCGAGTTAGACAAAATAAGAAATGAGTCAGAATAAATTATCGTGAAATCTTCGAGGAATCCGAATCGAAGAATTGATCAGTTGGCGCTTATGTAACAAGTCACATTTCAAATTAAGCTTGAAAAAAAAAAGAATTTAATAGAACTAATCATCGAGGTCTTTTTGAATAATTTACCAATGAAAAAAAGATGGAGTAAAAACGAGATGAACCAAAGACTAATGAAATCGACCACTTCCCAGTTTTACCACTTTCTCATCTTCATCCTGACAAACTTCCCGTTTGTCACGTACAAGATTTTTTCTCTTCGTTATAAATTTTCTCTCTCTCTTTCTCTCTATCATTTATTCTCTTTTTCCCTTCTTCATTTATTTCAATATCTAGGTTGTCTAAACCAGAGTATCTTCGACACCTTGTCTCGATTGACTAGCTCGTCTTCTCTACACATATATGTATATTCGTATAGACATCTACATGAGTATCTTCGCGAAGGAACCTGCGAAGAGAACTTTGGAAGAAGAAAAGACACATATCAAGTGCGATGGCCGACACATCGGTTAACACTAATCCCATTTAATTAAATTTTCTGGTTGCGTAAACGCTATAGGTAAAAGCGACGATCGCGAAACAGTAATACAATTGCTAGTCCAATCATATCTACATCGTCGGTGAGCTATGAGCGAGTGACACGTACCGGTAGTGATTCGCATTAACATATCCGTGTGAGCGTGTTAATGACAAATAAGCGAGACATAGAGAAGAATATAGCTAAAGAGAAGGAGATAGAGAGACGAATTAAGGTAAAAACGGACTTAATATGCAATGACGTTTGTATATTAGTGGAGTATCTCTGTGTGTGTGTTTGTGCGCGTATATGCCTATGAGCACCCAGGTGACACTCCGGACACGTACAAATAGTTGTTACGACGAGACGGAGGGCAGAGCGAGAACGAAACCGTGAGAGGCACTGCTGGTCCCACTGTCGCCGCACCGACGTTGCGTAGAGCGCCGCGTCGCCGGCAAGACGGCCTGCGGAGGCGATAGGAGGGGTTGCCGGAGACAGGCGCAGGCGTCGAGCCGATGAAGACCGGGTCGATAGTCCGCAACGTCGTTCCTCCCTTGCCGGCCGGCTGCCTCTACTCACTCTTTCTCCTCTACTTGTCTCACCCTCTTTCTCTTTCTTTCTCCCTTCGTATCGTCACCGCATCACTAAATTCCTCGCAATGACGAATTGATGATTTAGAGTTAGGGGATTCGAAATCGCGAACACTTCCCTTGGCTTCTATTTTTCGATGACAAACTAATATTATCGAATGCTGTGCGTAAAAGAAATTTCTTGATTTGAATGGAAATATCAAAATATCAAGTTATGTAGCTAACATTCGCGTTATGTTAATTTATGTCAATATTTAATGATTTAAATTTTTACACTTCACATGTCTTTTTTGAATACTTTTTCATTATTGCGTATGATAATATTTTTTCTTCTGCAAAATTTCATTTCATAAAATTTTTCAAATTGCAATCTTCGACTGTCTCCCTCTTTCTGTTTTGAGACTAGATTTCATAAATTAATCAAGTTAAGTCTGTATTTTTCTTAAGATTAAAAATAGCAAAAATCAATCGAATTATATTCAAAGTTAATTTGCATTACTAAAATCACTCGTAAAGTCTTCAACATAGAACTACACCACTGAACTTCTAAAATCTCTTAATACATCAATATTTTTTTGTTTCTTCCTGCATATATCTTTCCTTCTTACATATCCTTTCGCTTCTTTTCTCTCTCTTTCTTTCTTTTTTTTATTCTTCTAATACTCTCCTCTGCTTTACAACTATCCACTTTGCTCCAGCATTTATTTTCTAAGTAAACTTTTGCTCCCGTCTGCTGTATATACGTTGTTTGATTGTTGAAAACAGTTCCAAATTGCTTCTTTCTCAGAAAGTAGTTTTCGTTCCTTGCGGTGATTCCCATCTTGCTCCATCCGATTTTCTTGTTTGCTCGATATGTAAACGTCATAAACGATGCTGCTTAAAATATTCGTATATGTTTCTTTTTAATTATATTCTTGTTTTAGTTTTACATAGTACATATATGTAAAGAGATGTTCGTTGATTGGTGTCAAACTATCCTTCGTAATCAAGCATTAATTATCTATTATTTTTAACGAGCCTTTTACTCTTCTGTCCTTGGGATCTATGTCTACATCCTCTCTCTCTATTTCCTTTTCTTTTTTTCCTTTTCCGACTTTTCCTGTTTGCCATTCGTCGTGCTCATCACGTATCTGGCGCCGCAGTGTCGAGCCAGCAGTGTTGCAACGCGTCGGTGAACTCTTGGTGATCACCACGATAGGCGGGTTCCGAAAGTCGAGTCATCACCCCTGTGATGTAACTTGAAATATGAGATGAAATTTTCGATAAAATTGAATTTTTCGATACTATCATCTTTTCCTTCACAGATCGCAAGAGAGAAAGCAATATAAAAATGCTTTAATTGGACACTTATTTCCGTGATATATATTTACGGTTTATAATAAACTATAAACAATATACGAGATGCATGATGCATTCTATCATATATTGAATTTCCAAAATAATTTACATCGCCTCCATGTTAATTCTGTTCTTCATATTGAGTATTTAACAGTATATATGTATCTAAATATATGTAAAATAAAAAAATGTAAATATTGATAATATGTGACATGTGTATGTGTGCATGTGTATGTGGTATACATATACAATGATATAATTTATAAAGGAAAAAGATAAAGAGATAAATAGATAGATAGATAGGTGAAGATAAAGAAGGAAAAAGTAGAAAAAAAGCAAAGAGAAGAGTAGAAAAAAGAAAAAGAGAGAAAGAAAATAAGATGTGAAAAAATGGAAAAAGAAAGAGGACTCTTTCGAAATAAAGTCTTACGATGATTTTGAATGAAACATGTTTATAAGAAAGTTTTTTAAAAATACAGCACACGAGGTCTGAATATAAAATATGTCACTAGAAATTATCATCTTAAATATCTTTTCAGAAACATTATGCGAAAAAATATTTCTTGATAAAAGTTGCTCGACAGAATAATAATAAGTGCTTTGGTGACTATTAATGACCTTATAAAAATCACATCAAGATAATCTTAAAATTTTCAAGTAAAAATATATCTCTCCTTTTTATTGCAGATTTTTATAATTGATATCGAGACATTTTCAAAACAGTGTATATATAAATCTCTTTGTATTAAATACTTTTTAAATCTTTTTGTATTAAATATTTTTTTAAATTATGAGTTTCTAAAGTTTAAATATCGCTCTCGTATTATTATACAAGATGTATTGAAGAGATGTAATAGGGAGATTCCCTGGTTAACATTTTTTTATATGTCAGTGCAATCGGATATGTGTGTATATGTATATATATTTAGTAAATGTCATAACTGTTGACCAGTTGTTCTAATTATATTATACAATTTAATAATGAGCCAATGATAAAAACTGGTATTAATGTTTTTTAATATTTCAAAGACAATTAATGCCACTTCAGTGATAATTCGGTGTCATCTAAATTTTTTACAAATCATCTAAATTTTGTGATTTGATTCTGTAAACTCGATCTTTAAATAATCTTAAAAGAAAAAATTCGAATTAATATCAAGTGATCGGGATGGTTATTTGATTGCATTTATCTCTTTCCTATCTATCCTTTAAAAAAAAATCATTATAAAAATTTTGTACATAGTGTCGTTTAAAAATTTAAAGCGACATTAATTATCTCCAGAATATCTCCAGAGATAATTAATGTCGCTTCAAAATTTTAAACAACACTATATATAACAGCAATTTTAATCAATTGATTCACTATCAAACTGTGCAATAGTTCAAATAATATATATCCACATACATACATATATATATATATATATATATATATATGGAATTAAATATCCCTCAAACCCTCATAAACCTCACAAACCTCATAAATTCTAGATAACGCAAATAATAGTAATTTTTATTCATATAACTCTAACTTTGGATTGAAAGGTAATAGTAAACTCTCTCAAAAGTCATTTTTCTTGTCTTTAAAAGTACTTTCAAATGACTACTTATTCGACCTCTTCATACCATTTAAGATTTTTAAACCATTCCCATCTCCTTGCCCTACCGAGATTGAAGGTGAGCATCACTTGGTTAAAATAGTTTTTATTATCCCATCAAATCCCTCACAATCCTCTCAATTCTTTCTTTCTTTGTCTTTATTTCCAGTTATCTATCTATCTATTTATACTTGTTATAAAGTTATCAAGATCTATCCCTTTTCACATACTATATATAACAATAATATTTATAAATAATCATTTTTAAAAAACCTAAATAATAAAGAAATTTAATGATCAAATATAAAATAAAATTTAATCATATAAATATAAATTAAAATGTATTTCCTGAATAATATATTTACACTGTTTCCCATTTTATAAACAGTCTTATCCGTCTCTGCTGCAATGACGCATCATAGCTATTACAGAAAGACGCGTCGTAATGTCTAACATCGATCCGAAGTAGCGTGGGCCACTCTCGAGCGATATCCGCCTTGACCATGCTTCGATCCGCGTTAAATAACATATATTCGTGACCTATATAAACCTGAGATTTCGCTGCTTTCTATTCAACTGAATATTTAAGGGAAGGAAAAATGTGTATGGAACTAGAATTTTCACAATGAATTTGCATCTAAATCCCCGCAAGCAACAGAAGAACTGGAAATTATTTTTTTTGTCACTCACACGAGAGAATATCGTTGCTTTATGTGGCTCATACAATGAGAATTTTATTTGTTACTTCAGCATATTTGCGACGACATGTACAGAGTGTCTTTTTTAATGGAACCGTATATCTCTAGAAATTTGACAAAAAAATTTTAGACAAAATTTATAGAATTTTGGGCAAAAGGATATTTATATAGAAAAAAATTCAATTAACATTATTTTCCAAGGGAATTTAAATATCAATCTAATTTATTTAAATAGTAGCCCTTTTTATATAAATATATTTTTAATATATTTTTATATAATCGATCTTCACAATATCCGACGTAAACAGTTATAAAAATAAGATAGACAAAAATTAAATAAATGAGATATTTCATACTTTAATTTGATACAATTTTACATAAGCAATAAAAAATATCTCGAAAAATATTGATTTTTAGATATTTTGAATGATCTTAATTTAATATTTTTTCTATATCAAATAATGAGATATTTGTACAGAGAAAAATATTGTTTTTAAGAAAAAGTATATAATTTGCAACTACATAAGTATATAAATATCATTATGAGTTAAATGTATTCATTGTTTGAAATCATAGAAAAAAGAAACAGTTTATAATAACCTGATTTCAAGAGACAATCATGTCTCGCCCACGCACAATTTCGATCAGCTCAAGCAAATAACAAGACAAGTTGTGTGTTTGTGTCTATAATAATATTTTATAAATATTTTAGACTATTATATTTCAATAACACCAATAATTCAATATTATATTTCATTGCTTGAGTTTCTAAAATTAATCAATAGACTGAATTTTCATTATATAACAAAGACGTTTTTATTTTTGCTTTATATACTTGATGAACAAATATATTATAGTAAAAAATTTATATGGAAATTTTCCCTTAAGAAGCATTACGATTATTTTTGTCTTCTGGATATACTACTTCTCCAATTTCCGAGACAAGATTAAAACAATGACAATAACTGCCGATATCAAATATGATAAATAAAATTATATACAAGATTATGTAAAATATATGTCACAGATATATTCGAGATTATTATTTGACAATTGTTGAATTGTCAATTTACATTGTCAATTATTAAGAATTATCATTTCAAATATCTCCGAA